ATAACTACAATGGATTTAAATCATTGACAACCTCATACATAAATTCGCTCTGAAAACAAAATAAATACCCAGATCTGGGGTACTTTCACAATTTCCTATCAACATTTCCATCCAATATCAATTTATATAACTTCAACATGCTTTTAGCCAGCACAGTGCGAGATCAACAAATATGTGGCGTGTATTGGTGTAAACACAGCCCGGGGGGTCGGGATCTCATCGTATTATAAAGCAGACAGCAATCGGACATACAACATTTTATTCCAAACCAAATCCAGGCTACCAACCTCACCCAAAAGAGCACGAGGGAATCCCGCTTACCATAGTAACAGGTCACATGACCAAACATGTGATCGTGCGACAGGGATAACCTGTCAAAGAGGTACCATAAGGGGGTTACATATGAGGAGATATTCTCTACAAATACACATAACGACACTTTTATTCTTGCATATTTAAACAATAAGTTTAGGAACAAGTTGTTATAATTTCATCCTGCTGGCTACGTTTATTTTAAACTCGTCTCTTCTATAGAATGCAAGACATACTGTCTTATAGAGGAAGGGGGAGAGGGAAAGAGTGAGAGTTTAACAGCCACTTGACTAACTTGTGTAGGGGTCTTTAGCAGTAGGCGAATCCTTGTCACGTACTAACGAGGAATCGGAACCGCGCAGCTTGACTCAAGAACAACCCTTATGATATAAAGCGCATGTGTTAGACCAATGTGATGTAAACATTCAGAATCTTGAAATGCCCATTTTTGTTGTCTTGATGACCCACCCACCGCCACCCACCCCCACCCCCCTTTTGTGGTTTGACAGCTGTGGTTATCAACTACTCAATATATCACATTCAATGAGACGGTCATCCTTATAATTCTGTTCGATATCAAAGATGTCCTTTAATTTATTGGAACCATGGTGGCTTAGTGGGTGAGACGCACGCTTACTAGCCTGGAGGTCGCTTGTTCGATCCCTACATCGGGGGTTGGATGGCTGAATGGTTAGCGTATGCGCGCTGTATCATAAAATCTGTCATTGAGTCGACTGGCGTGGTTTCGAATCCCCGGTTGTACGTGGCAAGGAATAGGGTCGCCTGTCCAACCTCGTGGGTTTTCTCCGGGTCCTCCGGTTTCCTCCCACTGCTAAAGACCCCTACGCGCAAGCGAATTATGTAAATAAAATTAAAAACCATATGTTAGTCCCGAAATGACCTAGTTTGTGTCGAGTGGACGTTAAACCCCATTTCTCTCACTCTCTCTCGATCCCTACATTGACCGAGAAAGTGGTTTTCCCTTGTTATTGGTGCAGGAAATAGGGCCTTGCAAGGACAGCTGTCTAGTCGTTCACATGGGACTAAAAACCGAGGTCTTGTTTATACATTGGTGTGTATGTAGTCCATGTGACAGGCAGATATTCTTTACCAATTTGATGAATCGGTTTAACTATGATTTTCTTTTCAGTTAGCCTTAGGTCTAAAGTGTCCAAAATTGGTTGATGGACTTCCGGGTCTTTGCCAAATGTCAGATTGGTGGCAATCTTTAAAAATGGCCGCCGTTTTTTTCTTATTTGAAATAGTGCGAGTCGGAGAAGCCTTCATAACTCCTTAACAGTTTCACCTAAATGTAATATATCTCAAAATGTTCATAATATAATTATAATTCAATCCAAATTAATTGGTTTATTTCGTAACTTAGGCAACAAACAAGAATTTATCAAATCACCTACAGAAACATCGGGTGGTCCAGATGGTATGACGTCAGATGTTGACGGTAAATTATGGTGTGCGTTTTTTGGCGGCGCCGCGGTGAGTAAGGAGTTGGCTCCCTAACCTGGTGGTCCTGTTTTCGCTCCCGGTGTTGACAACGTGTAGTCGTTTAAATGGGACTAAAACCGAAGTCCCGTGTACACGTAAAATACTAGATGGTTGTGTGATATTGTGGTTCCCCTTGGCAGTTGGAATTTGATATACATGTAAGTGTAGGTCGTAGCACCGATGCCCGGGCAAAATTATAGTACACTGAACAGGGCCGTAACTAGCTCCGAGCAACGAGTCCCCAGTACTAGTGGCTCTAGGAGGGAGGGAAAGAAATGGGGTTTAACGTCTACTCGACACAAACTAGCAAACTAGGTCATTTCGGGACTAACAGATGAAGAGAGGCCCTAGGCTAATTCCATTTTTAGATCATCCCAGTCCCCAGTACTAGTGGGTAGAGGAGAGTGTGAAAGAAATGGGTTTAACGTCTACTCGGGACTAACATGTGGTTCAATTTTATTCTAATAATTCGCTTGCGCATAGGGATCTTAAGCAGTGGGAGCAAACCGGAGGACCCCATGAGGTTGGCCAGGCAACCCTACTCCTTGTCAAGTACAAACGGAAAATCGAAACCACACCACTTGACTCAATAACAGACCTTATGATACAGCGTGCACATGCTAACAATTCAGCCATCCACCCCAACCCCTCCCTCCACTGGCTAGAGGAAGATGAGAATGTCTTTAAACACAATATGGTGAGAGAGAAATCGGGTTTAATGTCCACTCGACACAAACTAGGTCATTTCGGGACTAACATATTGTTCAATTTTATACCAATAATTCACTTGCACGTATAGGGATCTTTAGCAGTGGGAGGAAACCGGGGGAAACCTATGAGGTTGCACAGGCGACCCTACTCCTTGCCACGTACAAACGGGAAATCGAAACCACACCACTTGGCTCAATCACAGACCTTGTGATCACACACGTACGCGTTAACCCCCCCCCCCCCCCCCAACACACCATCAAACACCTATAAATGGGCTAAATCCGACACTTTCTGGATATGCTCCAGTTGGTATGCCTGAGTCTACAGTTTCAGTTTTTTTAATGAAAATAAGATATTCCACGGTTTCCATTTCAGGACAACAGATTACTCAAATAGACTTTCCCACAAGTCAAATCACTTCATGTTGTTGGGGTGGTAAGGGTTTTGATGAACTTTACGTCACATCCGGTCACTATGGAGTAATAGACGAGTATGCTGGATCTCTATTTAGGGTTACCGGTCTTGGAAGCAAAGGAAAGCGAGCAGAAAATTATGGCGGGTGACCGGGTGATCGATTCACACTCAAGTTTGGCAGTTGCCCTGGCGCCTCACGAGAATGCTAACCTATACGTATGTTTTGATTATAAAATACTATTGGAAGTAACAATATATGTACTTTTAATTTTATCGACAATCAAAGCCCTCACTCACCTCACCTCACCCCACCCTGCTAATCTATGTATGCTGTAGTGACATGCTGTCAATAAATAAATACTAAATGTTATCCACCATTTCCTATGAGTGGTGGTTAAGTCAGATGGCCCCATTTAATAGTTATGTCTGCCCTGGTACTAATATCCTATAAAGAATATATAAGAATATTATTTACTGTAAATTAGTTAAATAAACACAATAATAATTTATTTATATTACGACTTTGGAATATTGTTTGATACCTTACTAATCTTGTGGCTCTTTTCTTGGGGGCCAAACTCTACAAAAGGGCATAATTTAAGTACGATCAAAATAAGGGGGAGGGGGAGACATGGGGTTTGAATGTTTACTCAATATGAACTAGGTCATTTCGGGGCTAAATTCGCTTTCAGTAGGGATCTTTAGCAATGAGAGGAAACCTAAGAACACCTAGAAACCCTACGGGGAAATGGTTGGGGGAAACGGTTGCAAGGAATCGAAACCACAACACTTGAAACAATAACAGACCTTATGATCAAAAGCGTATGCGTTAAAGCCATTTGACTACAACCCTCCCCTAAAAGGCGGAATACAATAAGAAAGAAAGTAAAAAAATGTCCAATTTTAAATTTTTTAAATATATATGAATAAATTGTTAATCTTACATAATCAGTTTATTTCAGACACACGTATCAAAAATAAACAAATAAAGGGTAATAAATTTAATTTATCACTGTTTACAAATCATAATAATATAAGTATTTAAATATTGCTCTGGCTGTATATACTAATGGAATGTATAAGTACTAAAATTTATCCCAATTAACATTATCTGTAATTTATATCAACCAACATAATCTTTAATTGATATCAATCGACACAATCTGTAATTTATATCAACTAATAATAATAATAATATCATCATTTATAAAGCGAGGGAGTTAGAGAAATGGACTTTAACGTCCACGCGACACAAACTAGGTCATTTTGGGACTAACATATGGTTCAATTTTATTTCAATAATTTGCTTGTGCATAGGGGTCTTTAACAGTGGGAGGGAACCGGAGGAAACCTGGGAAAACCTGTGAGGTCATTTATAAAGCGCTTTGATACTGAAGAAAAGTTTGTAATGTACTGTTGGTTGTTATATTCAATGATTATTTACAGATCAGGGTTTTGAAACAAGAATGTCTTGAGTTTAGATTTAAGATGGCCCACAGACATTACAATATCTGTAATTAATACCAATTAACAAAATCTGTAATTAATACTAATTAACATTATCTTTAATTAATACCAATTAACAATATCTAATTAATACTAATTAACAATATCTGTAATTAATACTAATTAACAATATCTGTAATTAATACCAATTAACAATATCTGTAATTAATACCAATTGAGATTATATGTTTTTCTATATGACATTATCTGTAATTTATATAACCAAACATTATCTGTATTTTATACAACCAAACATTATCTGTAATTTATACAACCAAATGTTATCTGTAATTTATACATCCAAACATTATCTTAAATTATTTCAATTTATATCTGTTTTTCAATGTCACGTATAACCGGGGATTCGAAACCATGCCAGTTGACTCAATGACAGGCCTTATGACACAGTGCGCACGTGCTAACCATTCGGTCATCCACGGCCCCCTCCACCACTTCTTACATAAGACAAATCCACTTAAAAATTCATATTTTGCTGCCATAACAATAATTAATTCATATTATAACATGTACAATGATAAAGAAAGAACCATAAAATGAATACATGTATTTATTTTAAACAAATGTTGCGGACAGAAAGGCACATAAAGAAATGGACATTTATTTTTGTTGACAGAGAGTGTGAGGAAAATGGGGTTTAAACATACATTATGCAAGAGCTAAATCTGCCTACTGCACGTCTTTCTTTAGGCCTTAAATGTTATCTAAATTATTAATTAGACATTAATTAACTCTCGGTGTCATCGCTAGCATGCGATGTTTATTGGATTAGGTTCTGATTTCCTGTTCGACTTCCATTCATAAATAAATCATGAAACGGATAATCAAGACTATGTTTTTTATCATACCAACTTTAGTAATGATGATCGAGGCTAGGCTGAAAATTCAATCACTAAAATCTTGGTTCAAAGTGGATCAATTTGACTGAAATTTTCAGCAAATCCCCTTTACATTATCTAGTTTTTAACTATTATAGTGAGAACTGCTAGCTCTTTAACTAACCTCTTTAACTAATCTCCCATAATGTATCTTTAATTAACATCCACTTGATACAATAGTATGCTTCAGCAGAGGGGAGGGAAGGGGACGGACATCCCAAAGAAAACCCATGTTTCAGCACACAACCCTACTCCATTTTGAAACCACACCACTTGAATCAATGACAGACCTATTTTTGTCGAAATATGTTATCATTTTTATTATAACACAAACCCAATAAGTGTTCCGAATGTTGCAGCCATAACACACAACATTAGTTCCTCCTTATGAAACAGATCTGTTATCCCCATTCTGTTTGCCTTGCTATATCTATACAGATCAAACACGGGGATCAGTATATGCAAAACATCTGGTATCATCAACCCAATATTCCTGGCATTCTGGAACTGTTGACCTCGACCGTGGATTACGTGGGTTATAAACTGATTGGACAGACTGATCATGATATGCATGCTGTTAATCGTTATTATAAGTAGAATCTTCCAGGATGCTATCTCGCTCTCGGCGTTACACAGATTCAGAACAACAACAGTCACGATTATTTCTGTCATCATGAAATAAAAATGATTGGAATAGAACTGGAATATTTCTTCGTTGTAATAACTGAAAAATGACCACCAGCTGTAATAATGTGGATAAATGTTGGCCAGATATAAAACAAACATTGTCTTTCGAACCTTCCCTACTCTACAGAGTTTATATAAATATTTTATACTTTCGTAGGTCATTAACACAAATAAAACTGTGAAGATCCAGATTTTAAAAGTCTCCTTCGTAGCATTGAAATATACATGTTTGTAACTGACTGCACCAGGAGCTTCATATCGCCCTGTAAAAAAAAAGAAGATATATTTATGCAATGAGTGAATGAAATGGGGTTTAATATCCTACTTTTCTAAACAATGAGGCTAATGAAGATGGGATTTAAGCCGTGCAATGGGCTAAGCATGGAATTTCGCCCAGACAGCAGTGTTTACACATGCTCTTAAATGAAAAAGGTTGTTATAGATAGCACTTGTTGTTATAGATAGGTGGACTTGTTTTTGTCTAGTATACTTTTCCTGCATTGGGACCAAATCTGGGATCTCTAGTTTAGATAGAGAGAGAGAGAGAGAGAGTGAGTGAGAGAAAGGGGTTTTTAGCAGTGGGAGGAAACTGGAGGACTGGAAAAAATCACATGCCAGTTGATTCAATGCCAGCTCCCTCCCCCTCCACTAGGTTAGTGAGCCAGTGCCATACTCACTCAGCCACTGACAAAGGGAGGCTACCCTGGAAAACCCCAGACAACTTTCTCGGCCAACACCGGGATCGAAACTTGGACCTCCTTATTAGTGACCCAGTGCCTTTTCATGCAATATCAATTAAAACTATATAGTGCAGGGATTTGTGTTAAACATTTAGGATTTCATTGTTGTGGGTCTTGAAATTTTCAGAAATAAACAATAATATTAAGATTATGAAATTCAGATATTTGTACCCCTGTCCGAAACTGGGTATTTTCTTTGTTTAGTTCTCAGATTTTCAATCACTTGTTATGAAAATGAAAGTAAATGGGGTTGCTCATCCTACTTAGTGACACCAACAAGACTAGTAAAGACAGTCATACCCCAAGCTGTGTGCCACAAGCACACAACTCTTCGTCCAATTCCCTTGAGTACATGGGTGAACCTCCGTTTTCCGTTCCTTCCGAACGACTAGATGCTTTTCCTTGGTAGTCCCCCAAACAGCAATACTGACAACAGAAAATCAGACAGAAAAATCTTAAGAAACTTTCTCATTCAATATTGACTTAGAGAACTCCTAGTCCTATTTTAAATTTAGGTCATGTAGAAATGAAATGAAGTTAAACCTTGGTTTTTCACCCATTCCCAAGATTAGACACTGTCCTTGCCAGGCCCTTCGTCTTGCGCCATTGACAAGGGGAATCCGCACTGGAAAATCCTGATGAATGTTTTGGCCAACACCGGAAGCGTAACACGAGACCTCCAGTTGGCGACCCAGTGCCTTACTCACTGAACCACTGTGGTTCCATGCTGTCATGAAGAAGTCTTACCTCTAAAAATAGTATCAAAACAGGAACACGTACAACTGGATCTATCAATTGGTGGTTTATCTGGTACCCAAATCATGGAATAAAATACACCTAAAAAATAACCAAACACATCTTTATATCTACATAGAACCATCCCCCTGCAAATGGTGGGTTTTTAATAGTTAGTGCAGGAGGGCTGCATTATACACGCAAACAAAACAGTTAAGACAAACCTGCGAACAAGACATAAACTACACACACATTGCAAGCAACAAATATCAAATCAAGTGAATGGATCCAGGGGGATAGTGATAATGACTTCTTTGGTTGACCTAGACATAATGACATTAAATGGGGACTACTACAGATGGGCATACACTATGCTTTGAGCTATTAGCCTAAGGGTAATTTTGCCCTAACAGCAACATTTTTGTCTGCTCTTCTCTGAATGTCGACTGACACGCATTCTTTTATAAGGGGTGTCTTATTGTCCCATACAAATGATTAGACACTTGTAGTTCCTTCCCAGACACACCATTCTGCACCAATGATAACAGGGGTATAGCGCTTGCTCACCGGAAATACTGAAGAACATTCTTGGCCATTGAACTGATAAAGAAGTAGTTAGATCTTAAAATGCAGATCCAAATTTTACTTAAATTGTCTGCTATATGTTTAGAGATGTTACAAAATAAAGGAAGGTAGGTGTGTGGGGTGTCGAACAGGTACGATCTAAGAACAGGTACGATTTAGATCGGTGCATGTTGTAGATCATATGGCCTGTCATTGACTCAACTACAAAAAGGAGGAGAGAGAAAGAGAGAAATGGGAGTTTAACATCCACTCGACACAACTAGGTCATTTCAGGACTAAGATATGGTTCATTTCTATTTCAATAATTCGCTTGTGCATAGGGATCTTTAGCAGTTGGAGGAAACCGGAGGATCCAGAGAAAATCCACAAGGTTGGTCAGGTGACCCTACTCCTTGTGACGTACAAGTGGGGAATCAAAACAACGCCACTTGACTCAATGACAGACCTTATGACGTAACCAATTCCCCCCCCCCAACAAGTAGGGTTGCCTTTCGAACCTTGTGGGTTTTTTTCCCAGGTCCTACTACTGAAGACCCCTACATGCAAAATGAAATGAAATGAAATGAAATGGGGTTTAACGTCCTACTCCCTACATGCAAAAAGATTTACCACATATTAGTGACAAAATGGCCTAGTTTGTGTCAAGTGGGCATTAAATCTCTCTCTCCCTCCTTCTTTCTAAAATAAAATGAATACTAACCTATGTGAAGAAATGGTAAGAATATAAGAATTAAGGCACCAAGCAAGAAGCCCTGTGTTTTGTCGATCAGGTTAAAATCTGATGAAGTATAATGAAGGCTGGTTAACTGTTTCTCCATGTAATCTTTGATTGACATATCGGGCTGTCTTTGTCGCGGGCGTGGCCACGCGTCCTTTTGTCTGCAAAATCATAGTAATAATAATAAATTAAATAAAATCTGAAATAGGCAACTTTTATAGGCAACTTTATACCGGAACAAACAGATCTACAAAGAGTTAACTCCACTTTAAAATTTATACAAAACAGCATAAGATATGAAATGAAATGGGGTTTAACATCCTACTGTTCTGCTCCAACTGGGATAATGAGGACAGGCATACACCATACCGTGTGCTATGACAGAAATTTTCCCCAGACAGCGGTCCTTGGCCTACTCTTAAATACAAGTGCCAAGGAATCTTTTACGTGCACGCCAATGTGTACACAGGACCTCGTTTTTTTCATCCCATCCGAATGACTAGATAGATGTCTTTGTCAATGTCAAGCCCTTCATCCTGCACTACTGACAAGGGGAAACCATGCCGGAAAATCCTGATGAACTTTCTTGGCCAACACTGGGATCGAACCCAAAACAGCAAGGGAATCCAGCATAAATATGGAGCATAGCACTAACAAATAAATAACTTTAACAATAAAGTTTCTGTTATTTAAATAAATCTAAAGATAACTTGTTCACAATAATTAAACCTTAAGTAAAGTTGTGAAGAAATGAAATATAGACAGCCTAATGACTTCACATCTGTCTTTCATCAATTCTAGACTTGGTTGGTCTTCTCTGTTATAAAATTGTACAATGTAGGCTTCTGGTACAGGTTATTAGTTTCAATACCTACAGCAATAAATAAACCAACTCGTTCATATTTACTACTTACTAGGGGTCGGAGAGAAAGAGATAAATGGGGTACATGTATAACGTACACTCGACACAAACTGTTGTTTTGGGACTAACATATGGTTAAATTCTAATTCAATAATTTGCTTGCGCATAGGCGTCTTTAGCAGTGGACAGCAGAAATACCATGAGGTTTGACAGACAACTCTACTCCTTAAAATGGGCACATATAAGCTGGGAATTGAAACAACACCAACATACATGTACTCGATGACAAACCTAAAGCATACTGCATTCAGTCACCCAACCCCAGATTTACTACAGGAAAAATATCAGGCAATTTTTGTACCAGGCAGAGGGGGGTTGGGTGGGGTCTGGGCAGATCAATAGGAATCAGAATTCTTCTTCCAATATACTATGAAAATAAGTTTAAGTTCAATCAGATTAGCCTACATGTATATCCAATATAAATTATATTTTTGATTCAAATCAGAAACACTTAGCCATTTTAAAGGAAAATAAAAAGTCAGTGAATTAAGAAAAAAATGTGTTGATAAATACATGTACATGTAGGACTATTGTTCACTGATAAAAAGGCCTATACGGTCTGTAAATGATGATAATAAAATATATATAGCTTATTATAGCCTACAACTAAAGCTCACGGTCAAGGAGATGTTCATACATCAGAATATCCATATATACGTACTTGTGTAATTTTTGCTGGTTTTCATGGGTTATCATTAAGAAGCAGATTATCCATGACAATAAATAAATAAATAAATAAATATTGAATACCTTAAAGGAGTTAAGTCTCTAACTCAATATTTTCCATAATATTCAAAATTAAAAAAAAAATTGGAATTCAATATTGGTCTATTTCAATCCATACTGATGTTGTTATGTTGCCGTGAAAATGTGGGATCCTTATTTAAGACACAATGAAGGTTTTCAAATATGGTACACCACATCGTTTCGGGCGCAAAACCATTGAACAAAGAAAAACATATCGTAAATTACATATATTAATGGCTGATTCACAAATGATAAAATAATAATAAAGAAATTGGCGTTCAATTTGGACTGTTCGCATATTTCACCGATCATAATTGATTATAAATTACACTATTTTTTAAAAAATTGAATATAAATCACATTATACACTCATATTACATTAATATATGTTTTTAGACCCGTTTATGGTTTAAAAAATAGAGCCATATGCCCTTTAACCAAATAAATGAAATGAAATGAAATGGGGTTTAACGTCCTACTGTTTTGCTCCTAAACTAGGCTAATGAAGACAGGCATACGCCATACAGTGTGCTATCGAATTCCAACTGCCAGGGGATCTTTTACGTGCACGCCAATATGTACACTGGACCTCGGTTTTTCGTCCAATCCTTGTCTGGCCCTCCGTCCTGCATCACTGACAAGGGGAAACCACACCGGAAAATCTGGATGAACTTTCTTGGCCAATGCAGGGATCTTACTCATATTGATATAATATTGTAACCCAGAGAAAACCCACGAGGTTGGACATGCCACCCTAGGCCTACTCCTTGTCACATGCATTAACCGGGGAATCGAAACCATGTTTGTTGACTCAATGATAGACGGGGGGTTGGATGGCTGAATGGTTAGCACGTGCGCGCTGCATCATAAGGTCTGTCATTGAGTCAACTGGCGTGGTTTCGATTCACCGGTTGTACATGACAAGGAGTAGGGTCGCCTGTCCAATCCCGTGAGTTTTCTCTGGGTCCTCCGGTTTCCTCCCACTGCTAAAAAGCCAACGCGCAAGCGAATAATTGATATAAAATTGAACCATATGTTAGTCCCAGAATGACTTAGTTTGTGTTGAGTGCTCTCTCTCTCTCTCTCTCTGACAGACCTTACGATACTGCCCACACGCGCTAACCATTCGGCCATTAACCCCCAACCCTCCCCTAAAGGGAAATAACTCCAATTTAGTCTATCAAGGTTCAATAGGCATTATTAGTAGGCCTTACCTGCACTTGATTACTGTCTGAGTCTTGGTAAATTTTAAACGGATTTCTTCGATTATGAACAAACTACTTAACTTTGGTTATTATAAACTTACCTGTGTGTTTGTAATCAACTCCCATTCGATAAAATCCATTGCACAACTAATTATCACAACGATGAAAACAAGTTCTCTCTTGAAAAATTGAAATATCACAAACTTTTCCCAAAGAAAAATACCAATATGGAAGATGGTTACGTCGCTCTGCGGAAGATATCATTTCGTATTAGGGGTGACAGCATAGGAAATTCAAGTCAATTACGACAAGAATCCATGACCACTCGGACCAAAGACCACTCGGTTCAAGACCAGTCGGACCAACTGATACACCACTCAGCCCAAACAAATAGACTACTCGGACCATACAAAAAGACTATTCGGACCCAACAGAAAGACGACTCGGACCAATAATAAAGTGTTGTTTTAATAAATTGACAAGTGCGTTTGTTTTAATATGATTACTCGAACCAATAATAAAGTGTTATTTTAATAAATTGATAATTGTGTTTATTTTAATATGACTACTCGAACCAATAATAAAGTGTTATTTGAATAAATTGATTATTGTGTGTGTTTTAATATGACTACTCGAACTAATAATAATGTGTTGTTTGAATAAATTGATAATTGTATCCCAAATCGCAAAATATCGAGAACCACACTTGTAGTCACGTTTAAAAAGGGGCATATAAACGTCCGGTCTTCGTATTATTATGTGCTGTTTATATTAACGCATCAAGGGCGGATAACTTGAAAACGTGTCTCCCCCCCCCCCCATATATAGTAACCCAGGGGTTAGTGGGGTAGAACGGAATGAAACCACTGGGGATACCGCGAATGTGGAAAAAGTAAAATTAGGCTATCAGACAAGAACAGTATACCCGTATATGCAGAAACTGTCAAAAGTCTGGACATACCGAGTCTCATTGCAAGAGTAAACAAGAAAAATTAGATTGATATTTTTTTTTGACACCATTATTAATTAATTTTAAAACTAATCGTTGATTTATTTTCCGTACACAAAATTGAACTAAACAACTCTAAATATAAGAATTCCGTATAAGAATTATTTGCTTCTTTGTATTGTGATTTAATAATAAATAATAGCATATTGTCTAGCCTTATAATATAATTTAATTGGTCCGACTGGTCTTGTTTTGGTCCGACTGGTCTTAGTCCGAGTAGTCTTTGGTCCGAGTGGTCTGGATACCTACGACAATTGGCATTGAGTTTGAGCGTTCGCACACATAACTACCCGGATTCCTGTATTTAGTTACCGTCTTTTACAGTCTAGTAAAGTCTCTGCAAATTTTATAGCTTTACTTTTTGAAATATTTTGTTCTAATTATTTGATTAGCGACTCGGATGGGATAATTTACTTTTGAACACGCATGCCGCACAAACACAACTATACATTCGTTTTACGGGCTTTATCACACTTCGGTCAAAACTGTCGAATCGAGAATTAATGTTCCGCTTCTTACGGGGTCATACAGGCTTAGTAGCATTATATACCCACCCGGGCACCCAATAAGCACGCTGAGGTCTGCCGCAACATGCTTAAAGATGTTACTGAAGCGGTTATTGTTCGATCGAAAGAATGCGTATAAAATCAAAAATACACTCAGAGAATTCGGAGGTGAGCTTCATGATCTTTGTTAAATTATTTATAACATAAAGAAGATAGGATATTTATAGTTTATACATGACTTTATTTTTACGAGTATCAGTGCAATCAGTGATATTTTAATTGTGAAGAGAATTTGATAGACTGGCGATCAATGGTTTCCATATAAATCTCCTATGTAATTGCCTTCAATTGATATTTTTCGTCGCCCAAACCCGTATACGATCAAAATGATCGCGCTGTCAAACTATCTTTCAATGTTAACCAACCCCCGCAACAGGTATATTGGATTCGACCAATACGTCACGAAAACATTGTTGACATCGACTCTGTCGAAATTACAAGTAAATTTTCAAATTTTTCAAGAGAGAACTTGTTCTCATCGTTGTGATAATTAGTTTTGCAATGGATTTTATCGAACAGGAGTTCATTACAAACACACAGGTAAGTTTATAATAACCAAAGTTAAGTAGTTTGTTCATAATCGAAGAAATCCGTTTAAAATTTACGATGGTTCACACAGTAATCATTTTTTTTAAACATGGGAAATGCAACCGATTTCACGGTGTACGCCGTGACCGTATAACTAGACTTTTTATACGCGTGATTCATGAGTTTACGAGGTCCCATACGGCGTAAATGTAAAACTACAAGTATCGTACCGTATGATTCAAATGACTCTGAGCCTCCCATAACATAAAAGGCATAACTGAATGAGGGAATAAGGCCCATACACCACCGGTATCGGGGCACGCCGGTCCAATAATTAAATAAGTGATATACAATGTAGTAGTATGTACATATTCTAAACGTAATTAAACGTAATTAAATCGACAATATTATTACCTGCCTGCCATGTTTGAAATTTCTAAACAAAATGAATAATTTCCGGTAAGATAACTCCATTTCTAATTAGGTCATAGCAGACGACACACACCTGTAATAGGTGTGATGAACAGGTGGAAAATTGAAGGTTTGAAGGTAGATGCACGATTAAATGAATGAAATATTAGACGCAATATGGGTAAGACTAGTTTCAAGATGGCCTTCGTAGCCCAGGACCGCGACAGTACCCTCGAACCGGGCCCTGAGACAAGCAACTGGACGAGAGGGGGAGAGGTCTGGGTTCAAATTTTTGAAAGATACATGGTCTCTAGAGTCATTTTGGCACATATATCTGGAGTAAATGAGGGTCATTTTGCTAAAACACAGAAACGGAGATTTTTGAACACATACGACGAAATAGTATAAATAAAATGAAATGGGGTTTAATGTCCCCCCCACGTCCGCTATAATTCTGAAGCATTATTTAACGCCCACTCGACACAAACTATGCAATTTCTAGATAAACGTATAGTTACGTTTTATTTCAATCATTCGGTTGCGCATAGGAGTCTTTAGCTGTCGGAGAAAGACGGAAATTAAATGTGGTTTAACGTCCTACTCTTCTGTATCGAACTGGGCTAATGAAGACGGGCATACGCCATACAGTATGCTTTGAGGGAAATTTTTACCGGACAGCGGCGCTACGGCCTACTTTTATATCGAATTACAATTGTCAAGGAATCTTTTACGTGCACGCCAATGTGTACACGAGACCTCGGTTTTTCGTCCCGTCCGGCACCACTGACAAGGGAAAACCACGCCGGGAAATCCCGATGGAGGCCTACCTTCTCGGTCAACACCGATGTACCCACATAGCAAACCACTACCAAGGATATACAAAGCTTGGAAATCACAGGATCTCTTGCCTAGGAATCTAGCTCCTTACTCACTGAACTAATGCCGCGGCTATTCTGGGTTGTGAACCAAATGCGTTCGTCAACCTATGTGCGGTATTTCGACGCACGCAAGTTTTTGACGAGATATTTGGTATTTCAGTGACCTGATGTTCAGGAAACTTGTTTAAAACGGATCCTTTACTAAAACCTTTCGTGACATAGAACAATCTTAAATTAACAAATCATGATGTGTAATGGGATACTTCCGGGGCAATTGTAGCCTATCAGTTTTAATACAGATGGTTGACCTGTCGACTGCCTTTGACACTATCGATGACTCGCACAGGGCATGTTATATTTCTCTGCGGTAATAACGTCCAATATAAACCTGTAACGGTAAATCTCTTTGATCTTTGGGGTATATTCTTAGCTCGGAATAACTTGCGGTCTGAAAGTCGTGGGCGGCTTTGGATATATACCGGGAAATTTGGGGTTATTCTTCTGAAAGTTTTTCTTTAAACCTGTACCGGGTTATTCTTCCTGGTAGGTTTTTTTTCCATAAGAAAACTTGATATACGGTTTTTCTTACGGTAATTCTGGGATATTCTCATCTTGCGTACATGTAATCATAGACGGTTTATAAGCAAGATAAAGTCCTCGACTTCGCTCATGCTGCAGGGGAAGAAAGACTTCAGAAAAAACCCTCGACAGAAAAACCTCGGCCTGCCAGCCTCGGTGTTTCTTTTTCTCGGGTTATTTTCTTCAGGCTTTCTTTCCCCAGCATAACCTCAGTCTAGTGCTTTATCCTACACATAATAAATAACGCCGTTTTGACCTCACTCCACAATAATGTTATACATGTACATGTATAGGCCTACATGCACCTAAATAAACAGTAGGCTATATACTATTGTCTCAAAGTTTCTGATTTGATCAAATTCTCGTTTAATTCCGCAGTCTTCACACAGTTTTGACCCATCTCCACAACAAGGTTTTACAGGTATTCTCGCACGCAAATGGACAGTACTATTGTCTCAAAGTTTCTGTTTTCATCAAATTATCGTTAAATCCCCAGACTTCACGCCAAACTTGACGTTGTCTGCACCACCAACACCCTCCTGTTCAAATGCCTGGACACCTCCTGCACCGGATTAGATGGTTGTGTTTTATTGTAGTGTCTGGTCCAATCAACTTCCCCAAATAATGACCAGTTGCGTTAAATAATTATAATAAATGAATTAAATTTATAAAAACGTATTAATTTTTATTATGATCACATATTTAAACCAATTTTTTTTTAAATATATCAATCATCTGTACATTGAATTGTTAACAAATGCAACAGACTATATCAAAGATAATATTCAACAATAAAAAAACATGAGTTGTCGGGCAACCTAATAAATACACTATAGCATTTTTTTTCTAGAGGAGCCGTAAAATAAAACAAATGTTTTTTTGCAATAGCAAAATCCAATTGTAATCGTTGAAAACCATTTACAATTTATCGATTGAGCAATTTATATGTGATATAATCACTGTTTTTTTTTATACACTAGCTGTGTTACCTAGCGCACAAACGAAGTCATTGGCAATGTAAGGACCCCATTTAATTTCAATATCAGCATTTAAAAAGGTGTATTTTATTGTTTACTTCGATATTATTGGAAACACTGGATTCGCTCTTCCGCCATCTATTCTGATTTCCTCCCCCGTTATATAAGATGATTCCTCCGAGAGAAGAAATTTAACGAGTTTAGCCACGTCTTCTGGTTCACCTATTCTTTTCAATGGTATTATAGAGCTCTGGGTTGCATTTATCTTAAAAAATAGATAATAAATAATCAATACCATTAAGGTGACTACAAATTGTTCCAATGACATTGAATAATTGAACAGCATTTCACATATTTTCTTTGAGCGGCATCAAACAATTGACACGCGTAATGCGCTCAAAAATAGTATATGGCACACAATTACTATTATAATTAAAGCGAAATTTTGTTGAGGGTTCTCTCAACATTATCAAGCAAATTATAATTAATATTAACCAATAATTAGTCGGGAAACCATTAATATTGAGTAAAGTCACCGATCAAAGGGAAATAAATCTTATCAAACCATATACACAAAACAAGTAACAATTATATACAGAATCCTATGGAGTATAGCTACTGTTTATTACTAAGCAACGCTTGGTTGTCTAGGCTTCTCTAGTCTTTATCTGGTAGTGATCAAATATAAAGCTGAATTATTAATAAATAGTAAATTGTATTCCATATAATTATGACCTGATAAGTGAGAAATAATACAGAATATCAATGGAAACTATAGAGCGGGTGGCCACGGTGGCTCATTGGGTGAGATGTCCATCATAGCACATGGCGTATGTCCGTCTTCATTATCCCAGTCTGAGCAGAAAAGTTGGACGTTAAATCCAATTTCATTTCATTTCTGTTAGGGCACCAACTGTGCTTAATTCATATGTTTTGTTATAGAGTCATGTAGTGTGAGTTTGGTCCCACGTGACAAGGAGTAGGGTTGCCCAGGTTTTCCCCATACTCCTCGCAGTGTTTCGTTTGATTAGAACTAATCCCACTACTCACTGCTGTACAGAGTGCAAATTCTTGTTCTAAATTATGACTGGTCAATAGTCCGATTAACAACCAAAAGCTTACTGCGTAACAATATCATTACGATTTAAACATAGCTCCACATTGGACCAAATATGTTTACATAACGTTACGTCATGACTCACGATTTTAATATTCCCAATTAACCAGTGCATAGCAGAATATTGCAGAAAAACTAATTGTGTGACAAACAAGGCTATCAACTGTCAGCACGATTTTTAAACTGTGTATATCATGTAAACAATATTGTTTTGAGACGAACAACACTTTCACCGCTTTTAATACCTTAAATCACTGTCCAAAGTTTTAGGAAAGGCCCCAGATTAAAAGAAGGGCTGTCATGCTGCTGTGCTTTTGGATAGATTTGATTGAACGGGAAGAATAGACACACCCCCTCAAAAGCGCAAGTATCAGAAGCTAATCCAGCAATGGCCAGAGGGGGATTTCTCGGGCCATTGCTTCAGGAATATGGTTTTCCCAGGCTTCATAGGTTTCCTACCACGCTAAATATCCTAACCGCATGCCAAATAGTGGTAGAAATGATATGGCCATTTGTGATGGGTGTACATTAAACTCTCCTGGCTGTTGGATCTTGGTGTTAATCAAAAGAAAGTCTTGGGAATTCTCGATCTGGGTTCAGTAGCGTAGGAGGAAGGACCTGGCAGGGACCTATTATAGTGTCGTTGAGATGGGACGAAAATCAAGACCCACCCGTATACTCTGTATAATTGGACGTAACATGATCCGATGAAGAGTAAAGTACCCCCATAGCACACTGCATGATGTATTATTCTGGTAGGTACTGAAAGGTAGGCTAGTGCGTTTATCCCCAGATTATTTCATTGCTAGACAAATACGACTTTTTACAGTCGAGGATGACGGGTGGCCCTATTGTCATACTTACATCCGGTGGTTCCTCTATTCCAGCATTTGCTCGAAATTCAGACCTTGTATATCCCGGGCTGAAATAATTGAAGACACCAAATAGAGAGATTTCACCTAATGAAATAGAAGTGGGGAAGAATTTTAACGCGTGTGTTTTACAATATAAGGTCTGTCAATGAGTCAACTGCCGTGGTTTCGAATCCCAGCTTGAATATCACAAGACGTAGAGTCGCTTGTCCAACATCACGTTTTTTCTCCGGACCCCCCCCCCCCCCTCTATCTCCCTCTCTTGCGTAAACGTAAAAGAACATTCATTCACAACATAGTGTCATCATTACCTATTGCTAGGCGCCCAAATTGAGTTGGTAAGGTTATAAATAACAAATTTCTCTTTACATATTGTTTTAGCCCTTGTTAGTTAGGGAGTGGAAGTCAAAGGTGCTACTCTTACCAAATACAGTTACATCTTATACCATATTCTGCCGTTTCTAAAAAAACAAACAAGATTTTACGATATCACCAAAACAGAAACTGAATGAATATAGATTCAACGTAACTACTCTACAGGGGCCTGTTTCACGAAATTTTTAACTAAGATAAAATCCAAATTTTAGTAATTTGATTGGATAATATTAGATTGATAATCAAAATTGAAGTATCTACTAAATTTTGGATTTTATCTTTAATTAAGATTTCGAGAAACAGGGCCCAGATTACAGTATAAATGGGGGTGGGGACACGTGCGCTTCAGACCATTAGGTCTTTTATTGAATCAAGTGGCGTGATGAGATTCCCAGCTTGTACGTGACAAGGAGCAGGGTCGCCTGACCAACTTCGTGTTTTTTTTCGTGTTTTCCAGTTTCCTCCCTATGTTAGTCCCGGCATGACCTAGTTTGTGTTGAGTGGACGTTAACCCTCCTCTCTCTCTTTCTTCTTGGCTATAATGTTCCGGATCCGGACGTCCCCGATTTTTTTAGTTTAGGGTGGTGTGGAACATGCTAGAATCGAAATGTGGTCTGAGTCGCGAAATGGTTCGGCAATATGATTACGAAGTAATGAAGATCAGAATCTGCCAATGGCTATAGCCACAACTCTAACCGCAACAGGGCCACCTAGATAATTTGTAGGCCTATGTGCCGAAGCAAGACAGATTTTGCATTCCCCCCCCCCCCCACCTGCCCCACACCTGTTTAAGTACAGTAAGACCATGAAATACATTACAATATAATATATAGTATATTTAGTAGTGTTAAAGGGAGGCTATATTAAAATCTTCTAGCAACGCCCCTGCATATAAAGCATGCACATTGAAACGCATGCAATACACTGTATACCACAATAGTTAATAAAGTGTCGCCATCTTGGTAACACTTTTGGTGTTCTGTTTGGTTTGGGGTCTCTGAATGTACTACTACACAATACATTATGGACATTGGGTGAACGTCTCATAGAAAATACTGTCGGGGATCGTATCGAGTCTCTGCGGCACCAATACAGCTCCATTATATTTATGCCCCCACCCCCTAGCGATTAATTATGGTCCCCGAGTGATGTATCAGCTGTGGCCCTCTCTCCTTGGGTCTGAACCCCAGGTTGCATGTGATTGCATCCTTCACTTAGACCTCTCATTCACAAACAGCGATATCATTTCATATCTTTAGAAGGCATTTGGTGAAAGCGGTATCTGTAATAACAAGCAGCTTTATGGATAACTTTCACTAGGTTTATTAACTGCAACGTTTCAATGAGGAGAACGTTACAGACGGGTAACAATAAACTAATTAAAGAGGCATTATGTAAGATTAGATAAAGAGTTGACAGTTCTCGCTATAATAGTTAAAAAATAGATAACGTAAAGAGAATATGTTGAAAATCTCAGTCAAGTGCCCCACTTTGAACCAAGATATTAGCGATTGAATTTTAGGCCTAGTGTTGATCATCATTACTACAGTCGGTACGATAAAAAAACAAAGGCTAGATTATCCACTTCGACGTTAAGTCATCCATCACCAAATGTATTCAAATCCAGTAAATATCACAGGCTAGCGATGAAACCGAGAGTTGATTATGGTCTGGATAAGTTAATTACTGTTTAATTAATAATTTAGATAACATTTTAGGCCTAAAGAAAGACCTACAATAGACAGATTTAGCTCAGGCATTTAATGTATGTTTAACTATCTACAGACCGAAGCCGTTCAAAGACATGGTGAAATGGTGTTAACCATTAGTTAGACCTCATACCTAAGAAACTATTAATCATTAGGAAACCCTTAAAGAGATGGAAATCTACAATTCATATTAAAAACAACAATTAATTAATGATAATCATTAATTAATCATTGAACGTTGCAGTTAATAAACCTAGTGATTGTTATCCACAAAGCAGTCTGTTATTAGCGATATCATTGACTATCATATGCAATAATTTTTATTCACATACCCGCAGCAAATAAATGTGTAAAATGGTTCAGGGCTGCTTTCGTCATGGAATACACCGGAAGTAAGGGGTACTACAATTATAAATATGGTTTAGACATGGTTAGTTCTATATGTTAAGGCCAGCTCAATTTTTCGTCATAGGTCACGAGATGTAAATAGGGCTAGTGCTAATCCCATCCCTAACCCTAGCCCTGGACCTATCCCAATGCTTACCATACCCCTAACCTGCATTTCGCCAACAATCACGTGCCCTAACCTTATTTACATCTCAGCGACCTTAACAAAAATTGAGCTGGTCTTAAGAAATAGATTTAAGCGTTTAGACATTAAAATACACAACATAAATATTTCCAGGAACAAGCCTTTAAGCCGAGCTGACTCTGACAATAGTCATAAACATAACTGTGTTCCCAAAGTTAATTTGTTGTCTTCCAGATAAAATACCCCCAATGATGACGCATAGCAATTCTTCACAGAAAACAGACTTTGTATAGCTGGCTGGGCCTCGGACAGACGGACTTGGTACAACGTCCTAGAGGGGCTAGGGGTCCATCGGCCCGGAATGTAAAACAAAATGGCATGTATTGTTTTCAAAATAAATAAAATTAATCTTCGCATCAACTGAAAATTATAACGACCTAAATCCGAAAAGAAAAATGAGTGGGCTTCGGGAAAGGTGGATGACAGTAGTTTCGTTTTCTCGTCATGCCCCCTATTTTTCACCACTATGCGGGCCCAAGGAAACCAGTTTGTCCAAGGGTCCAGAGCTACTAAGTCTGCCCCTGGGAATAGGAGACATATATGTAATTATATATACATGAAATATTCTTACCCCTCTCTGACTTAAAATACTGGACATGTTGACAACTGAACCTATAAAAGTACAACAAAAATATACTATTGTTCTTGTCTACCATATCACAATGGTGGAAGTGGACGTTAAACGTCAGGACCGACCGACCACACTATTGTACCCAAGTCGTTCGTACCCCTCACTGGGGGTTGGATGGCTAGGGATTCTAGGCTCACAAACTAGGAGGTCCCGGGTTCGATCACGGTGTAAGCTGAGTCAGAGTTAAATGTTATCATATTTTGTGTGAGAGTTCGTGGAATTGCGTTTCGACTCGTAAATTGGCAGCTGAAACGTATATATCTCGGCAATGGTGCGACAGGCGTGTCTCCAGTTTTTATAAAGTCCAGTTCTCACAAGCAGAATGTAGTTGAACCGTCTAATCACGTAAAATTGAAAATTAATATTTTTACAAACCTATCAAAACCTCCAAAGCGGTAATGGATATGATGTTTAGAATATACATACATGTATAAACACATCTTTCCTTTCCTGTCACTGTTTGCAATACTTTCGGCGCTATTGACAATAGACTGCAGTTGTCGGTGATTAACAAGATCGTTCTTGTCAATATTTAATGCATGTAATAATAAATATGTACATTTATACCGCACACATGTTCATGCTAGTGTGCATTTGTTCAAGGCACAAGTGTCATAATAGACAATAACCAGATGCGTTTTTAAATTAGTTTTGAACGTTTTAAGGATGACAGTTTAATGATCTGGGTAACGAATCCCACAGAACAGGCACAATGTGAATAAACATATCTGTATCCAAAATGATTTGAGTTTATATCTTGGAATTATAAGAAGGTGTTCTAATTGAAAACGGAGTGCACGCCCAGGAAAATATGATGATAAAAGATCTGCTATGAAGTTCTTTGAGTGCTGGTGTAATATGCGAAATCACTTAAATTTTGGTTATACTGTGTGTAGAAACGTGAATATCTGTTACATTATCTTTGATCCTCGGTCATGTTTTCCACTGCTTTGACTGCTATTGACAAAAGAAACGCTGTTACCGATTCTTGTCGGTGACACAAACCAGGTCATTTCGGGACAAACACATGGTTCAATTTTATTTCAATAATTCGCTTGCGCGTAGGGGTTTTAACAGTGGGAGGAAACCGGAGGTTGGACAGGCGGCCCTACTCCCTGTCACGTACAACCCGGGTATTGAAACCACGCCAGCTGACTCAATGACAGACCCCATGATATTGATACAGAACGTACGTGCTAACCATTCGGCCATTCGGTGTAGATAACAAAGCACATAAGTCTCACCTTTACTCTGTTTTAAATATGGTATACACAACTTAGACAGGTGAACAGGTGCTCGGAGATTAACTCTCATTGTATTATCATAATTATCCATATCTAAATTCTCAATATTCTGTTGTATACCAACCCCAGCATTATTAACCTAGGGGAAACAAAGTGTATTAAGTACGAAACGAATTGAAACCAACAAGGCTAATGTCCCCGTAACTCCCAAAATACTTAGATTACACGTTATTAATTACTTGCATTATTTTTTTTTTTTGTAAAGCGTGGAGCGATCAAATAGTTTATGCTCCTCATCAAACCTAGTCATGTTTTCGATTATAGTGAAACTATACACGCAGTTTCACCACTCTTTAACCTGTGCAGAACATGCTCATTATCAAACTTAGTCAATAAAACTATACAGTACATTACATCAATTAGAATCAAAGTTATCGTGTTTCTAGGGATCGACCAGTCAAATTGCTTATCTTTGCTTAGCCTAAGCAGAAAATGTTCATAATCGAATTCAGATACGGCATTCAGATAATACACACACCTACACTACACTTGAACATTCTGGTTTGGACAGAAGCAGTGTTATTATGTCTTAGACCTATGTTTTGTCATGTCTAATGACATGTTTTGTCGTGGCTTAAACACGTTCCTTATAATTCTTCAAGTGCACATCCAATGACATGTGTTTTGTCGTGGCTTAAACACGTTCCTTATAATTCTTTAATTCTTCAAGTGCACATCCAATGACATGTGTTTTGTCGTGTCTAAAACATGTTCCTTTGTCAGTAATGCGAGACTGGTCCTGGTTGGAACCGTAATGCATTATTATGATGTGTTTGGATGCCTATTATAATCGTAATTCTTTATCCAGTAAGGTGCAACGAATCCCCTTTGTCAGAGGTGCAGGACGGAAGGCCTACCAAGGACATTGTCTAGCCTTTCGGATGGTAAGAGAAAAACCCAGGTCAAGGGTTCATATTGGCGTGCCCGTAAAAGAACACTTGACAGTTAGAATTCGAAATAAGAGAAGGCCGTGTCCGGACATTTCCCTCACAGCACACTGTATGCCATATGCCCTCCTTGATAAGCCCAGTCGATGCAGATCCGTAGGACGTTAAACCCCATTTCAGGACAAAAACTTTCCCTCATAGCACGCAGTATGGCGTATGCCCTACTTAGTTAGCCCAGTCGGGACAAATCAGTAGGACGTTAAACCCCATTCAATTTCATTTCATAGCAACGACGACAATGTAACTTACAAGGCCATAAATGGAACCAAATGTTTTAATGGTTGTATCGACCACATTTTGAAGGTCTTCTTCTTTTCGTACATCACAGCCCAACGTTAATATCTGAAATATAGTCATTGATTTCACTAAAACTCTGCACAATCTTGTGGAGTTCGTCAATTCTTTTGATTCGTTGCAGTTAGAATATCAATAATTATATCCTTATTCCTAAAACCATAATGATTGAAAAATGTTTTGGTCTCAGATGTTAAAGGATAGAATTGAGTTATGCCTTTGTTATACCGGCCAGTTAGACCCAACATTTAGGGAATGAGTTATCCCTTTGTTATACTGGCAATGAGTTATCCTTTGGTTATACCGGCTAATAACAAGTCTTCTTTTATTTACTATGGCCAATATATTACCCAATAATTATTGAAAGCAATAGAAAGTAATGGGAATTTTAAAGCGGTGGGTGGAAATCAAATATCGTTCTGTGCTCCGATAACGATGTTATCGAGGAAACACTAGAGAGACTATAATTAATAGAAACAGTGTGAAATTTACATGTTTAAGAGAGAGAGAATGAGAGAGAGAGAGAGAATGAGAGAATGAGAGAGAGAGAGAGAATGAGAGAGAGAGAGAGAGAGAGTGTGTGTGTGTGTGAGGGGGGGGGGGGGGCTAACGGTCACTAGACACAACCAGGTCATTTCGGGAGTAACATATGGTTCTATTTTATTTCAATAATTCCCTTCCGTGTAGGGGTCTTTAGTAGTGGGAGGTAACCGGACGATCCGGAGAAACCCACTAGGTTGGACAGGCGACCCTATTCCTTGTCACGTACAACCGGGGAATCGGGAATCGAAACCACGACATTTGATTCAATGACAGAATTTATGATACAACGCATACGCGCTAATCATTCATCCATCCGACCACCCAGATTATTTGGGAAGACTACCTTGAATAGTATTGTCTGAACGATACATAGTCTGAGGTATTGAATGGAATAGGCTGTCTGCGCCTCATAATCGGTTGACTTTAAAGGGCCGATCAACGAGAATTAGTTTATTATCATGGCAATGGTACGGTACCTAACAATCGGCTATTTGCTGTTATAAATTTGCTTAGAATACAATAATTTTGATTGGAATTTTCATGATCTAAATCTTACATAATGCATCTTTAATGTGTTACTTGTACCTTGTCTGTATTGAGACCGATGGCCTGACATTGTTGACTCGTTTCTTCATTTTTGTCCACTTTTATATCAACTAGAACGAGTTTAACGTTGAACTGAGCAAGATGAAGAGCTATACCCTGTCCTATTCCAGCACCGGAACCTATCAAAGACAAAACAAACGGGGATATCATTATTTCTAGGAAAAGTTAATCTGATAATTGATATAGCAGTTTTAAATGGCATTTACTCGTACTTCAAACGAATTTACTTGTATTTCAAACGAATTTACTCGTATATAAAATGAATTTACTAGTATCTAAAAGAAATTTACTAGTATCTAAAAGAAATTTACTCTTAATTAAAAGGAATTTACTAGTGTCTAAAAGGAATTTACTCGTATTTAAAAGGAATTTGCGTGTATTCAAAAGGGATTTACTATAAGTTAAAAAGACTTGACTGTAATTTTCATGAAATTTACTATAATTTAAAAGGAATTACGAGTAACTACAATTCAAAAGGAATTTAATATAATTCAAAAGGAATTTAATAGTATTTAAAAGCAATTTACTATAATTTAAATGGAATTTACTATAATTTAAATGGAATTTATTATAATTTAAAATAAATTTACTATAATTTAAAATAAATTTACTATAATTTAAAATAAATTTACTATAATTTAAAATAAATTTACTATAATTTAAAAGACATTTACTCGTATTTAAAAGGAATTTAATAAGAACTTTGCTATAATTTGAGAGGAATTTTCTAATATTTAAAAGGCATTTACAAGCATGTTTTAAAAAAAAGATTTACTAGCATTTTTAAAAGGAAATTACCAGCATCTAAACATAATTTACTAGCATATGAATTAAAGGAAATTACTTACTAGTATTTAAAAGGAGTTTAATATAATCTTAAGGGAATTTAATAGTATTTAAAAGGAATTTAATAGTATTTAAAAAGATATACCAGTTATGATGACAACTTTATTTTCTAATGACGTCATAATCTGTACTTTATCTTAATATCAGAAGGCAGTCCTGCTTAAACTTGGATAGGTATTTCACGGATATAATCGTTCTCTCAAATACTGGAATGGATTAATTGAAAGTTTAATAAATTATGACTTTCCTCTTATTCCTTTATAATTTATAACACTCAACCACACTCGTGACACTGATATAACATGGAAATAACAAAAGTCCCCCGTCAAACGTAGCAAACAGACTTTACTGTACCGTATTTGTATCAGTCATCAAATAATATAATCACATGAAGGTTATCTTACAAAATGACCGGTTAAATCACACATATAGAGTGCTACTGTTACTGATCTTTATCAGTTGATAGTGCATTGACACTGTGACCACCTATATGTGGCGGGTTGGCGTGGTACCCGATTTGACCAAGGACCATATATAGATGGACTTTAGCCCTGATGTATTTGCAATGACATGGGTTTTAACCTGCACCGACTTGGCTAATGAGGACGTGATATATTTGCAAGTAAAAGTAACACGTATAACATATAATACAGTACTTAATAGTTTGGACGTTTACTATTTGGAGGCTAACATCGATGCTAAGGTATTATATTAGTTCGATGTGAATCACCTCAAAAACGGAGGAGTGTTATTGTCCAATAGATAGTCCATGTTCAGACAATCAGAATCGCAAAAATTCGATTTGGTACCCAGACCACTCGGACCAAAGTCCACTCGGACTAAGACCAGTCGACCCAAAAAAAAGACCACTCGGACCAAAACGGAGACCACTTGGACCAATCAATTTAAGTTGGAAGACCACTCGGACCAATATTTATGTTGCCCCTCGGACCAATAACAATTTATGTTGGAAGGCCACCCGGACCAATATTTATGTTGTCTCTCGGACCAGTCAATTTATGTTGGAAGACCACTCGGACCAATATTTATGTTGCCTCTCGGACCAATTAATTTATGTTGGAAGATCACTCGGACCAATATTTATGTTGCCTCTCGGACCAATTAATTTATGTTGGAAGACCACTCGGACCAACCCAAAGGATCGCTTCTCGATCCAATTATTCACTTAAGAAATAAAATACAGATTTTAAATTAAATAAATATTATTTATTAAAAAAAAACAATACAAAGAAGCGAATAATTTATAGGTGAATCTATACATAATTTAAAAATGTCATCCTTCCTTACATAAGAGCAAATATTCATATTTATTACATCAACAATTTATCCAAAAAAAATTTATTTTTAATATGCCCGTGACATATGGTACAATTTATTAATTTTTTTTTTTTTTTTAGTTTTTGATATGCTCGTGATATGTCTAGTGACCTATTCGCTTGGACCGTAAATCAACCCACATTTCTTTAATAGTTGGCTTGTGCTGATTGCTTCTTCATTGTAAAGTTTCCAAATCGCAAAAAGTTTTCCCTGTATTGAACGGGTCCGTTTTATTTGGTGTCTTTTTAATTTCCCTTCTGATATCATTTTCATCTGTTGAGGCAGTTGGCTGGCTTCTTTGTAAAGTAGACTTGTCAACAAATAAAATTGTAGATTTCCTTTTTTAGCTTTCTGGTTGATGTGATTATGCCACCCTTCGACATCGTTGTTGTCCTGATGGTAAGACCGAACACACACCACGAAGAAATTGGCCACACAGTATTTTCTATCCAAGTGTCTTTCACGTAATTTAACACGGATCTAATGTGTTCGTTGTCGGCCTTTTCCTCCAGTTTTGTAAAAGCCGGCAAAATATGCTCCGATGGCAAGGCAATGAGCTTTCTAATGAAATTTATGTTACTAATGAAATTTATGTTACTAATGAAATAAATTTATGTTACTAATGAAATTTATGTTACTAATTTACTAATGAAATTTATGTTACTAATTTACTAATGAAATTTATGTTACTAATTAACTTATGAAATTTGTGTTACTAATTTACTAATAGTTTACATACCTGAAGACCATTTTCCTGCACCTTTCGCCATACGGCCTGTCCCCAGTAAAAGTCGACAACAAACGATTTTACAGCTGGTGCAGTAGGTAACAGCTCTAAGATTGCCTGGAAAACCTGCAAAAATTGAAAATACAAAATTATATGAATTATATAAAATACAAATTTATATGAATTATATAAAATACAAATTTATATGAATTATATAAAATACAAAATTATATAATTGTATAATAAATGTTATATTACAGGATATCTGTGTATATATATATATATATATATATATATACACATATGTACATACCCTCTTGTAGTCTTTCCTTCTTTTTCCAGACATCATTACGAAATATACAGGTCACAATTCTATGGAATACAATTACTGCTTTTTACTGAGCGACGTTTCGACTAGGCTTCTCTAGTCATTTTCAAGCTATGATAAAAAATGAAAATATGACAGGACAATATATACATGTACACAACAATGCTTAGTTAATGCTGACAAACCAGGGATCTAACTTAATGACGTGTACCTAATGGTAATCTGATTAAATTAAACGCTAATAAGTAATAATACCAATTAACCTAAAAATTGACTAATTGATTAATGGATAAGTTCTTGTGGAGTATACACAATGATTAGTGGGTTTTAATAATACAAACGTTGAAAGAAAATGAAAATTGATGAAATGTTATCAACGACCCCTTTCACTGAAATAAACACAAATGATAAAAGAAATAGATTGTTGTGGAGTATTTACAACGATTTGATGAGGTTTCGATAATGACAACATCCCAATAAGATGAGATTTGATTGGTGTTATGACAAAAATAATTAATATACGAAAAACGAAAAACCCTTAGAACAATGACTGCACTAATGATCAATAGTCCCCTGAAGGCTGACAATTTAAAATATTGAGTGGTACTTCACTGGGTGTTATAGAGATGAAGAAAGGCAGGGTTAGAACTATTGAGTGCATTAAATTACAATAACCGCAGGCCTGAAAAGCAAAAATGCCTGAAAAGCAAAAATAGTTGGGAATTATTAGTTATCATTTTTGCAAATTATGATGGTTAAAATTATTAAAATTATAAAAACTTAAAATTATTACTGGAATATTGATAAGTATTATATATGATTCAAAAAGAAAATAGAAGAATTATGCTTAGCCTTGATTATGTGATAAGAATATCATACGCCCTGGGGAGGAACAATCCTTGATCACTGTTCATCGTTGGTTTGTGTCGTCGTATTTGAATGGCTTCATGCAATCGGCGCGCTCTCTTGTTGCTTATATTCTTGCATAGTGGTTTTACGTTGGACCATTGGACTCTGTGGCGAGGGTTGGAGTTCAAATGTTCAGCTACAGCTGAGTTGTTGGTTGCTGCTTTCGACTTGTGGTCATCTATCGTTTTATTTAATGGTCGCTTTGTCTCCCCGATGTATGCAATCCCACAATTGCATACTATTTGATACACACATCCCTTTGGTTGTGGTGGTTGTGTAGGATTTTGTTTACCATTGGCTCTTAATATATCTTTAGTGCTGTAGCTTTTTGTGAAAGTTACATCTATTTCTGGTTGTTGCATTAGTAGCCTTTTGATTTGGTAGGAGACTTTGCCGTTGAAAGGAAGGAAGATTCTGACTGGGGCAGTGGGGTTTTGGGTTTAGCTGCACTCGCCGACAGGGTCTTGTTGATGGTGTTTGTCACAAACTTCTCTGGATAGCCGTTGAAATTTGTGAAGACATGTTTGAGATGATCAATTTCCTTGGAGAGGCTCTCAGGATCACATATCTTTTTCGCACGGTTCACCAGAGTTGAAATTGTGGCCGATTTTACGCTATTCGGGTGATTAGATTTGAAGTGAATGTATTGGTCGGTGTGGGTTGGTTTCCTATAGACACCGGTACGGATCGAGTTGTTGGTTTTAGATACACAAACATCGAGGAAGGGTAGTTGGTTATCATTTTCGGTTTCCATTGTGAATTTTATACGTGGGTGTTGCCTGTTGAGGTGTTGTAACAGTGTTTCTGGATCATCTTGTTGATTGATAATAACAAAGGTATCATCCACTTGCCTAAAGAAGCATGTTGGGGTTACGGTGGATGTTTGAAGCGCCTTCTCTTCTAAATCAGTTAAAAATATTTCTGAAATTAAAGGGGAGAGGGGGCTTCCCATGGGTAATCCATTGGTCTGTTCGTAGAAATCGTCACCCCAGGAGAAATATGTTGAACTGATGCATTGTTTCAACAAGAGTATGATGTTGTCTGTTGATAGATAAGTCTCTAGTGGGTTGTCTAAACTATCTATGCGCTTGCGTAGAATCTTCAGGGCCTCTTCCCTGGGTACATTTGTAAACAAATCTACAACATCATATGAGACCATCCTCCCGGGGTTTGGAATATTCTGCAGTTTCTCACAGAATTCACCTGAATCTTTGATGAAGGACGATGCAGTTGTGCCAAGTGAGGAAAGTAGTTTTGATAAATATTGGGCTGTGTTGTAGAAGACTGAATCTCGAGAACACACCAGCAGACGGGCTTTCATGGGTTTTTTTATGGATTTTTATAGTAGCCCTGGCATAAGGTGGTCGAGGGTGGTTTGGTCTGAGCTTGTAATAGAGAGCTTCAGAGATCTGTTTGTCTTCTTTTAGTTTTTTTAAGCAAGTTTTCATGGCTGTCCCTGTGCGCGTTTGTTGGGTCTTTGCGGATTCTATCAATTGGTCCGAGTGGTCTATCAATTGGTCCGAGTGGTCTTGGTCCGAGTGGTCTATGGTCCGAGTGGTCATGCATTCTCAGATTTGTGTTACAACACCTAATAGACCTAATTAGAACTAACAGTAAAAATAAGTAAAATATATACAATACCAAGTCAAAGTAGTGAAATGAAATGGGGTTAAACGTCCTACTGTTCTGCCAATCATACCAATCATTTTGTATCTAGATCCAACTATTGATAATCTCTGTTCGTTTGAACAATTTTACCAAATTTGTGACGTATACCTGATTCATACGAATGTCGTTACGTAACGGTCATCGCACAGAACACCATATAATATTCAATGAACTGACCTGCATGCTGTTTAGTGTTTAACTCACTAAAATAACCCACACGGCAAACCTCAACAGATTCCAGTACCCTACATCTAATCTCGGCTGTATGACAAAGTCGGCCATTAGAACTACTTTCAAGTTCCCGGATTACAATGGCGTTGTCCATGACGACCAATGACGTCATTGATGACGACGTATTTGAAGAATGTTTTATCTTACAAAATTTTCAAAGTTTGAAGCTGTTTTTCTTTAAGTTTATCCGATTTTCTTTAGACAAGGACAAAATTGCACTGAAAATTCTACACACTCTTCGAACGACGCAATTTTGAGAACTTCTTTCTAAACGCGGGCAAGTTTCCCCTTGTAAGTAAACCGGTGCCGCATCGCAAATGTATAGGCGTAGGTACATGTCACTTACTGTCATACAGCCGGGGCTAGATGTAGGGTACCGGAATCTGCCGAGGTTTGCCGAGTGTAAAATAACCGCTACCTGTATAATTTCGGTGAGATAACTCTGTATAGAAAAATCTTAGCAGACGCCACATTATCTAAGCAGGTCGACTGACGCATTGATTACTCGATACTGACCTATTAAGATGTATATGAGCTTTGCATATATGTAGTCAATATCCAACCACTTAAAACGGGTTCACTTTACAGAAGGTCGAGCCATGTGTTTTGCCGAGAAAGTTGGTATGGATTTTTCAGTCTGGTTTCGGATCAGGACGCAGGACGAGGGTCTGGCAAGTCAAAGCAAGAGAGAGAGAGAGAGAGGGAGAGAGTGAGAGAGACAAACACATGGTTTAATTTTATTTCAATAATTCACCTGCGCGTAGGGGTCTTAAGCAGTGGGAGGAAACCGGAGGACCCGGAGAAAAACCACGAGGTTGGACAGGCGACCCTACTCCTTGTCACATACAACCGGGAATTGCAAGTCAAAGCGTTTAGTCGATCGGCAGGTACGAAAACTCATGTATAACAATGGCAACATTTTATAAAGATCCCCAGACTTTTGGGAATCTAAATAAGACTTAATAATATAAGGGTTATATCACACTACATGACGTATACCTATTTTCAAAAGTCCGGTGGAGAGAGAGAGAGCGAGAGAGAGAGAGAGAGAGAGAGAGAGAGAGAGGGGAGAAGGGGAAGGGGAGGGGGGTAAAGACCACTACGTCATTAATTCAGGACTAACATATGGTTCAATATCATTACAATCATTCAGTTGCCCGTAGAGGTCTTTAGAAGTGAGAGGAAACTGGATGACCAGAAGAAAACCGACGGCACCCGTACAAGCGGGGAATCGGAGAGAGAGAGAGAGAGAGAGAGAGAGAGATTTAACGTCCACTCGACACAAATTAGGTCATTTCGGAACTAACACATGGTTCAGTTTTATTTCAATAAATCGCTTGCGCGTAGGGGTTTTTAGCAGCGGGGGGAAACCGGAGGACCCGGAGAAAACCCACAAGGTAGAACAGGCGACCCTACTCCTTGTCACGTACAACCGGAGAATCGAAACAACGCCAGTTGATCCAATGAAAGACCTTATTATACAGCGCGCACGTGTTAACCATTCGGCCGTCCAACCCCCCCCCCCCCCTTTAAGCCAGTGAAGGTTTAGCATACTGTTTTACCAGACACTTTACATAAATTTGAAAGATACCGAATAACATGTGCGCTATCCTGACAAAGAAATGCAGTATAATATTCATGAAATAAATCTATAATCATGAAATAAGTACAGCCTCCCAATACAAATTATCACTGACCTCACTACAGCTGTGACCGTAGGTCAACATAATTCAAATAAAACTTTTTTCCCATTTTGATCATTATTCGTTAATACGGCTTTAATATGCATTCATTGACCAAAATTGATAAGGTAATTAGGTGTTGCACAATATTGAATAGGGGAGTCTATTTTCAAGGCGGGTTTGGCAGGTTGGAAATTTCCACATGCCGAATTTGATATTTCAAGTGTCTGGTGTTAGGGATTTATAATAGAGGTAGGTAACCGTAGCAATAACCCTAACCTAACTCAGAATTCACTGTATATGAATGTTTCGTATGGAAATGGACTTCCTCCAACCGACCCGATCTCCCCCAAAAGGCCTAATATTAGACAACGCCTATTTAATCGGTTAGTGAAAAAATATATAAATATCCCATAAAGAAACTAATTTAAATATTTTGGAATCATTATTCCCGTTTGATTAGAAATTAAAATTTCTGTATTTTTATCAGTCTGGCTATTTAGTAAATTTGAAAGAAAATTATATTGAGATGTTAATAGGTGTTAAATTGGTAGGCGTTTTACTAATTTCTAATTGGTTGGCTATTACATATAACAGATGAATATTGTATACGTAAGTTTCGTATGCGATATTACTCTGGTCGAAGCGCACGTTATCTTCCAGTCATCATCATAGCGTAGTTTGTGTAGACATCATCAAAAATGGTTGTGTGCATAGCTTTAATGGTAAGTTGTATCATGTTTTACTCTATTGGAGATGTGATTTAACGTCCACTCGGCATAAACAATGTCATTTCGGGACTCTTGCGCTTAATTAAATTTTGGATATGATTACGCATGTCTATAACACTCCGGTTGCCCTTTGTAATACTTGGACAAAAACGCACTTACATTGATTCTTAGGACCGATCGAGAAGATTTGCAGAAATATCCTAGATATCGTTATTTTGTTTCCATCTTACACTTCTCAATAAGATCGCTTACAATGTCTTTAGCAATATTTGACACATATGTTATAGTGGGCCAGGGCAGAGGGCGTGACAAGGGAAAACGTATAGTCGTTCGGATGGGACGAAAAACCGGGGCCCCGTGTACACATTGGCGTGCGCGTAAAAGATCCCATGACAGTTGGAATTCGAAATAAAAGTAGCCCGTAGTGTCACTCTCCGGACAAAATTCCCCCGTCTTTAGTAACCCGGAGAAGAACAGTAGGACGTTTAACCCCATTTCATTTTATTTCATTTTGTTATGAGTGACTAAAAGTTCGCATTTGTCGTTGATAAGTTTATGATCCCAATAATAAATGCATGGGGGCCGCAACAAAAATCGAAAAGACAAAACTGTGGACAAGACACAACTACACAGACATTGTAAGCAATGAATACCAAATCATGTGGATGAAACTGGGAATCAGCCGTAAGTCCCGAGCCTTTACTTTAAATGAGTATGGCAACGATATTTATTTTATTTTTCAATGTGATTATTTTAAATATCACTTTTTTGTTGTTTTTTTTATCAGGTTTTCATTTCGTTCATGTACACAGGAATCTCAGACGGTCAAGGTAAGCATAGCATTATATACAAGCCCAAGGAAGAGGGCCCACGGGGTCCATAAACATCTATTTATTTATTTATTTTTATGTCGGCATGACCCGCATTCGATCCCCTACTCCACCAAGGCAGTGGTATATTTATTTATTTATTTGTTTATTTTTCAGCGTCAAACGATAACAGTATTAGTGTTATGGGGGATGGTGATTGTTTAGACACAAGTTCGCATATTGTTATACCTAAACACGACTGCATTGAAGAACTCGGTCTGGATCAATATTTACGTCTTGAGGCTGACAGATATGATGCTGATGATCATATAGAACTAGATGGTAAAAATTGTATAAGAGAGAGAGAGAGGGGGGGGGGGGGGCACACACAAACTCGACACAAACTAATTACAATTCGCGTGTATAGCTGGGGGATTTCGGAGAGGACCCGACAAAGACACACGCGGTTTTAGGGGCATTATGGGAGATTAGGTAAAGAGCTGGCAGTTCTCACTATAATAGCTAAATACTAGATAATGTAAAGTGAATTTCATAAAAACATAGTCTCGATTGTCCATTTTTGGATTTAATCATCAATGAGCGTTGAGCAGCAGATCGGATTCAAATCCGGTAAATATCACAGGCTAGCGATGACATCGAGGGTTGATTATGGTCTGGATAAGTTAATTGATGTCATATCTAATTAATTATTTAGGTAACATTTCAGACCTAAAAAAAAAGACCTGCAGTAGGCAGATTTAGTTCTTGCATAATGCATGTTTAATCAAGCGACTCTGTGCAGTAGTTATCCTGTAATGTCTTTTAAAGCTGTTTTGTTAGTAGTATGTTTCAATATTTATTTCAGGAAACGGACTTATGATGGACAATGGTGATTGTATATTCGGTGATGTGGTACAGAGTAAGCAGGATTGTATTGAACATCTAGGTGAAATAAGATATCAACAGAGGGTACAGGAACAAAATAAAATCGATGCCGCGAAGAAAAACTGATAAAATATCGTTGTTTTAGAAATAATTGATTCATCTACCCTTCCAGGCAATAAACAAATATCAATATGTATAGAATGAAAACGTAAGAAATAAAATGAAATGAAATGGACTTTAACGTCCTATTTTTCTTCTTCTACTGGGTCGATGAAGATGGTCATACACAATGTAGTATTCTGTGAGTAAAATTAGGGGATCGCTGGCCTGGATGTCGGGTGTTCGATTCCTGCATTGTCAAGAAAGTTCATCCAAATTTTCCGGCGTGGTTCTCCCTTGTGAATGATGCAGGATGGAGGGCCTGATAAGGACAGCTGTCTAGTCGTTTGGATGGGACGAAAAACCGAGGTCCCGTGTACACATTGGCATGCACGTAAAAGATCCCTTGACAGTTGGAATTCGACATAAGAGTAGGCCGTAGTGCCGCTGTCCGGGCAAAATTTCTCTCATAGCTCACTGTATGGCGAAGCCCGTCTCCAATAGCCCAGTTCGGAGCAGAACAGTAGGACGTTAAACCCCATTTCATTTCATGAGTGGAATTTTGCCCAGACAGCGGCACGACGGTCTTTTTATTAAAAGGGGCGAAAAGGATTCACTGGCCCGCAGCTATATACAGGATATGGGTATCAAAGGAACCAGAAAGTCCTACTGACCTACTGAAGGTTTTAGGCATTTTGTCAAAGGTCAAAGTCAAAGGCTAGACACCACAATAATCCTAACCCTAACTTGCAGATTAGTGACATTTAGACCACAGTCAACATCAATTCCTCCTAGCAAAGAATCTAAACTGTCACGCCCATATAAACATATGCCGTCCCGTATGTGACTATAAAGTTTGGAACCAACGGAATGCTACAGCAATTTAACATTTAGCAATTGCTGTTGGTCTCAGACTAGTAATTAATTCCACTTATTTCATGATGCTACGAATGTAGTGCGAGTTATGAATAGACAATTTTCCATTAATTTTTTTCTGCCCTCTTCCTGCATTTTTGGGGTGACTTTGTGGTCTAAATTTGGAGAAAAGGGATCAAATTTGCAATTTCATAGCAGTTTTGGGTAATACTGATGATATTACAGCGGAAGGATAGGGGGTGTAAAGTGTCTTTCTGCAGAGTAATCATTGTGTCAGAAGTGAGATTTTCACCCCAGTCAACACCAAATCCCCGTAGCAAAAAATCTAAATGGTCAACCCCATACAAAATTATGATGAGAAGATTGCCAAATGTAGTCCCCATTGTGCCTATAAAAGTTGGAACCAACGGAATGTTGAGCAAAAAGCTACAGCCTGCGATGTTACAGTCATTTAAAATTGAAGTGAATGGGCAAATAATTGCTAGTCTGAACCCTGTTGTACTCCCTTTATGATACATGGATCGCTTCCCTTATTATGAAAGACGCCGCAACAAAGAAAATAACTTAAATTAAATGTAGGTATTGTTCCTGCAATGACGGTTCGTTAAAATAAAAAAACGAAGTAGAAAAATCAATCCTTATTCGTTTATTCCTGTACCCATGTTTGATAAACTCGTTCATTATGATGACAATGAAGGTAGGTATATATACGTTACTGAATACATGAACGTTGAATGATTGTGTGATGAAAGAGAGAACGAAGAACGAAGAACGGTTTCACTGAAAAGATAAAAATACACATGCATGTGTTTACAATAAACTCTATAACATATACGTTCTACATAACTAATAAATAATAAGTATTGATGAGTGATGCTGGCACTAAAACGACTCATAATATGGAATGCATCACCTATCAAGGAATACAAACTACTGTCTGATTCATCGTAAATTTTAAACGGATTTCTTCGATTATGAACAAACTACTTAACGTTGGTTATTATAAACTTACCTGTGTGTTTGTAATGAACTCCCGTTCGATAAAATCCATTGCACAAATAATTATCACAACGATGAAAACAAGTTCTCTCTTGAAAAATTGAAATATCACAAACTTTTCCCAGAGAAAAATACCAATATGGAAGATGGTTACGTCACTCTGCGGAAGATGTCATTTCGTATTAGGGGTGACAGCATAGGAAATTCAAGTACAATTACGACAAGAATCCATGACCACTCGGACCAAAGATCACTCGGTTCAAGACCAGTCGGACCAAGTGATAGACCACTCAGCCCAAACATATAGACTACTCGGACCATACAAAAAGACTATTCGGACCCAACAGAAAGACGACTCGGACCAATAATAAAATGTTGTTTTAATAAATTGATAATTGCGTTTGTTTTAATATAATTACTTGAACCAATAATAAAGTGTTATTTTAATAAATTGATAATTGTGTTTATTTTAATATGACTACTCGAACCAATAATAAAGTGTTATTTGAATAAATTGATAATTGTGTGTGTTTTAATATGACTACTCGAACTAATAATAACGTGTTGTTTGAATAAATTGATAATTGTATTCCAAATCGCAAAATATCGAGAACCACACTTGTAGTCACGTTTAAAAAGGGGCATATAAACGTCCGGTCTTCGTATTATTATGTGCTGTTTATATTAACGCATCAAGGGCGGATAACTTGAAAACGTGTCTCCCCCCCCCCCCCATATATAGTAACCCAGGGGTTAGTGGGGTAGAACGGAATGAAACCACTGGGGATACCGCGAATGTGGAAAAAGTAAAATTAGGCTATCAGACAAGAACAGTATACCCGTATATGTAGAAACTGTCAAAAGTCTGGACATACCGAGTCTCATTGCAAGAGTAAAGAAAAATTAGATTGATATTTCTTTTTGGCACCATTATTAATTAATTTTAAAACTAATCGTTGATTTATTTACGTACACAAAATTGAACCAAACAACTCTAAATATAAGAATTCCGTATAAGAATTATTTGCTTCTTTGTATTGTGATTTAATAATAAATAAATAGCATATTGTCTAGCCTTATAATATAATTTAATTGGTCCGACTGGTCTTGTTTTGGTCCGACTGGTCTTAGTCCGAGTAGTCTTTGGTCCGAGTGGTCTGGATACCTACGACAATTGGCATTGAGTTTGAGCGTTCGCACACATAACTACCCGCATTCCTGTATTTAGTTACCGTCTTTTACATTCTAGTAAAATCTCTGCAAATTTTATAGCTTTACTTTTTGAAATATTTTGTTCTAATTATTTGATTAGCGACTCGGATGGGAATATTTACTTTTGAACACGCATGCCGCACAAACACAACTATACATTCGTTTTACGGGCTTTATCACACTTCGGTCAAAACTGTCGAATCGAGAATTAATGTTCCGCTTCTTACGGGGTCATACGGGCTTAGTAGCATTATATACCCACCCAATAGACACGCTGAGGGCTGCCGCAACACGCTTAAAGATGTTACTGAAGCGGTTATTATTCGATCGAAAGAATGCGTATAAAATTAAAAATACACTCAGAGAATTCGGAGGTAAGCTTCATGATCCTTGTTAAATTATTTATAACATAAAGAAGATAGGATATTTATAGTTTATACATGACTTTATTTTTACGAGTATCCGTGCAATCAGTGATATTTTGATTGTGAAGAAAATTTGATAGACTGGCGATCAATGGTTTCCATATAAATCTCCTATGTAATTGCCTTCAATTGATATTTTTCGTCGCCCAAACCCATATACGTTCAAAATGATCGCGCTGTCAAACTATCTTTCAATGTTAACCAACCCCCGCAACAGGTATATTGGAATCGACCAATACGTCACGAAGACATTGTTGACATCGACTCTGTCGAAATTACAAGTAAATTTTCAAATTTTTCAAGAGAGAAATTGTTCTCATCGTTGTGATAATTAGTTGTGCAATGGATTTTATCGAACGGGAGTTCATTACAAACACACAGGTAAGTTTATAATAACCAAAGTTAAGTAGTTTGTTCATAATCGAAGAAATCCGTTTAAAATTTACGATGAATCAGACAGTAACATGTAGCAGACGAGGAAATTGCACTCACGTGACACAAGCAATATCGGTTTTGCGTGGGGAAAAAAACACCCGAAAGTAAATCGTTAAATTTGACAGAATTATGACTTGACAGTGAATAAAAATAATATGAAAATGATCTGCGATATCTGTTTACACTTTTACATAATTCTCAAGTAAACTTACAACTTGTGAGAGGGTAACAGGCGTTAGAAATGCATGGTCTCTAAAACACATGCCGTTTTTCTACACATCAATGGCGTTCGCTAATACCGGTTGAGTATGAAACTCGGATTTGGATTACGTTACGTTCAAATTACAGACTTGGACTAAATAAGAAAGGAAACGGCATTCTGCCGTAACAGTAGGTACAAATATTAAAAAGATGAGCATACGTCATGTCGTTCGCTATGAGTGACATTTGACAGAGTTTCTACAGTCTACTCTTATTCCGAATTCCATCTGTCAAAGATTCTTTTACGTACATCATAGCCAAGGTCATCATAGTTCAGAGGGACAACAAAGACACCGCAACGTTGCCTGGGATACCAAAGACACCAACGTTGTCCAGAAATCAATAACACCGGAACATCGGAGACACAAAGGATATCCGATCTTTCATATCAGATAACACACGTTTACACTAACCTTACATCAATTGAGTTTAACTGTGCTATTAAATATCTACAGGCAAGCTCTATAAACAAACAGCTAGATATCCCTCGACACATGCTTGGCTTACATTCAGCTAATATACATAAAATATTGATTTAATCTGTCGAATCGGAATTTGGATTATCATGATGCGTCCTATGTGTGCACGTGAATCGACATATCGGCCTAGGATGTTTCGGTCAGTGGACGTTTCGGCCAATTTTACAAAAACAAGTGACGATGTAGTCAAATGCACAGCAATAATCCGCACCCCAAAAACATGGACAATCCTGACACATAACATATATACAAAAACACATAACCACGAGCCAGACGAGAATGCTATATATTATCATCGACAAATGCAGACAAAACATGAAAAGAGAGAGAGAGGGAGAAATGAGGTTTAACGTCCACTCGACACACACACTAGGTCATTTCGGGACTAACATATGGTTCAATTTTATTTCAATAATTCGCTTGCGCGTAGGGGTCTTTAGCTGTGGGAGGAAACCGGAGGACCCGGAGAAAACGGGACAGGCGACCCTACTCCTTGTCATGTACAACCGGGGAATCGAAACCATGCCAGCTTACTCAATGACAGACCTCAACGCCAACTATTTGGCCATCCACCCCCTCCACCCCCAAACATGAAAAGAAAAGCATTCAACACTCGACAAGCCCAACCAGAGTTTCACTCATGCAAATTCCAAGCTTCTAGATGAGACCAAAGCATATCTACCAAGTACCGAAACTTGTAAGCGTCCTTTAAGAAGATTTCGTGCCCAACATAGACCGAGGGAACCCCAGATACTACAAGAACTTAACATAGATGGTTCTTGGTTCATGACAACAGGCGACAATCCATAACCTTTCTTACAACTTGATGCACTTGCATTTTTACCCCAAATGAATCTATTGAAGAATTGGCCGAAATGTACTCTATCTTTAAAATTAAGTGGCCGAAAAGTCCTACAACGAAATATCCTAGGCCGATATGTCAACTGATCGAAACGTCCTACATTCAAGATAATTGAACCCCAACAAAACCGCTTTTCCCCTGAAGATGAATCCAGTGTTAAAGGGCCAATCCCGATAATATGTTGGAGAATAAAACTGCTTAATTTTGTGTTAAAATCCCTTAAAATCCTCTATCAAAGGGCCGAGCAACTAACCCAATATTTGTGATACTTTTTCAAACAACTTAAACCTATCAGTTTTCATCTGGAAATGGAGAACGGTGTCACAAACTGTATTATGCGGCTTATGGATAAACCAGATCTTTACTTATAAAAATCATGTGTAGGTGAAATTTACCTTTCGTTATCAAGTACAGCACATGGGTCATTTATTTGTGTAGACCTCTAAAGGAATGGGGATCGATTATCAGATCACCCAACGAAAAATTGACCAGAAATCTTAAAAGGGTTACGTGTCCGGATAAGCATTTATGATGTTCACGTCCAAACGACTAAATATTGTGAGCTGGGGTTTTGAGACAAGGTAAACACACCATTCCCTATATTTAAATTTCAAACGTACTCGGACTTTTATTTTTGAGACTCTGTTGAAATCGGGATAGTCCCTTTAAGTGTTCTTGAATAATTGTAAGGATATGGAATGAAATCAAATAGGGTTTATCGTCCTACTGTTCGGCTCCGACTGGGCTAATGGAGATAATACAGTGTGCCATGACAAAAATTTTGCCCGGACAGCGGCGCTACGGCCTACTCTTATATCGAATTCCAACTGTCAAGGGATCTTTTACGTGCCACAGGCAAGGGGAAACCACGCCGAAAAATCCCGACGAACTTTCTCGGCCAACATCGGGAGCGAACCCGCGACCCCCGAATAGCGAGCCGGCGTCTTACTCACTTAATCACCATGGCAATGGCTCCCTCGTGAATACGGAAGCATGTACCAGGAAGTACAAAAGGTCCAACATGTACGAAGTCAACCAGGCTGTTAGTTAAACTCACAACAAAACAGCCGTGCTCCCGAAAATGAATCCAATGTTAATTTGTTTCTGGTATCTACTAAATAAGGAAGCATATATGTCTAGTGCACAACACCCATTAAACCCCCTTAACTGCAATAACATTACGTTAACGATATTCTGAATAAACAGCAACAAAATTCCTACTGCACCGCACTCATCTAACCCTTCAGCTAAAATAATATTTCCTTAACTACACAAACATTCCTCTAACAACATTCAACGGGTTGGTGTTGGTGAGTGTGTGTGGGTGTGTGTGTCGGGGGGGGGGGGGTAGATCACATGGTCTGTCAAGTGGCATGGTTTCGATTCCCCACTCGTAAGTGATTAGGAACAGATTCGCCTTTCAAACATCGTTTGTTTGATTTCTCCGGTTTCGTCCCAATACTAAAGACCCCCGCGCACAAGCGACTTATTATTGAAATTGAGCCATATGTTAGTCCCGAAATGAATTAGTATGTGTCGACTGGACGTTAAACCCAATTTCTCCTTCTTTCTCTCTTTTAACGATATTCAGAAAAAAACAAAAATGGTACAGGTTTAGAAACGCTATTTATTGTAATCTATCGATACTATATGTATAGAAAATAAAATAACAATATCATTTTTTTTCATCCATATTGACGGGCAATTATATTATTTGAGATAAAATATTGAATAGTTCATTGAACTGTCCTGCGTCATATTCCCACCAGGCGGCCATCTTCGATATTTTCCGTCACTTCCGTGTGAACCCCAGGCGTTTTGGTGCATTGTTATTATTAAACGACCACTTGACGACCGATGGCGTTAATTCACAATAGTGTGTTATTATTTTTTATTTTATTTTTTCTAAAAAGATTAAAGATAAAAATCATAACACACAAAGATTTACATGATATTATTTATTTATTTTTATTTTTAATTTATCTGGATATAAATTAACCCTATTAACGCTTGATAAAGGATGAGTCGATATGAAATTGAGTTTAACGAACTATTTTCTGCCACCGAACGGGATTACGCCACACACTGTGCTATGACAAGAGGAGTAACGCTTCGGAAAAATCCCGAGGAAGATGGGTGTTGGATTGCCGAATGGTTAGCGCGTGCGCGCTGTATCATAAGGTCTTTCGTTGAGTCAACTGGCGTAGTTTCGATTCCCCGGTTGTACGTGACAAGGAGTAGGGTCGCCTGTCCAACCTCGTGGATTTTCTCCGGGTCCTCCGGTTCCCTCCCACTGCAAAAGACCTGCGAATTATTGAAATAAAATTGAACCATATGTTAGTCCCGAAATGACCTAGTTTGTATCGAGTGGGCGTTAAACTTCAGTTCTCTCTCTCCGAGGAAGATTGTCGGTCAACACCGGAAAAGAACCCGATTTGTCCTACTTTTCTCCATAGCTCGGGCTAATGAAGGTGGGCTTACGCCATGCAGTGTGCTTTCTGGATATCAATTAACCCTGCTAATGCTTGATAAATGATGGTTTGGAATGAAACGAAATTGGGCTTAAGGGCCTATTTAGCTGCATCGACCAGGCTTACGCCGCACAATGTGCAATGGGGTGAACTTGGTCCGGACAGCGTAGCTCGGTATACTCTTTTTTCGAATTTCAACTTTTACATACTCTTCAATGTGTACGCAGGACCACGGTTTTTTGTCCCATCCGAACGAATATGCATTGTCCCTTACTAGATCAACAGTTCTTCAAAATTGACACGGGGGAACCACGCCGGAAAGTCCTGATGAACTTTCTCGAGGTTAACGAGACAACGACTTACTCACTGAGTCAATGCGGCTTCCGAAACGCTGATATGAATATCGGTCCAAAAGTGGTCCAGTTCCGTTTAGTAGTTACAAAGATATGGTCAATTGAAATTTCATCGATCTATGCTACTCGCTATGTAATGAACTCGGATATGTGGCGTTGGTCTTTTTTTATTATTTTATTTATTTTTGTCTTAATCAAATATTAAAGAATCAGTCTGAGTGCACTTTAGCAAATGACGTATTGTTACTTTAAATGTGTTATCTTCATAGAACTTACCCTCTCACTAATGAATGTTGGGCCACGGTGGCTAAGTGGATTAGACGCTGACTCACTGGCTTGCAGGTCGCGTGTCCGACGTGGTTTCCCCTTGTCAGTGGTGCTAAAAGGAGGGCGAAAAACAAAACCGAGGTCGCCTGTGTATACATTGGCGTGCACGTAAAAAATCCCCTGGCATTTGGATTTGGAATTGGATATAACAGTTGGCACACTGCGTTGAAAGGGTTAAATCGTAGTCGGTGTAGTATTTTTTTTTTTTTTTTTTTTTTTTGCATGCTTCATATTGCGCAATTCTCCAATATTTGTATAGTTGTTGATTTGTTAGAAGTATAATATAATTTTATTGCCTATTTGTTAAAAATGGAGCTGAAAGGGTTAACTCTTAGAGACTGTTAGCGTGTCGGTGTAGTTTTCTTTGTGTGTTTCACATTACGCAATTATCCAATATTTGTATAGTTGTTGATTTGGTAAAAGTGGGATTGCAGTTTTATTGTTTATTTGTAAATAGTGTAAAATATTTACGATTTGTTCGTTTTGGTGTGGAAACTTTTAATATCTGAATTCTCCAGGTGGAAACTTTTCATTTATGAATTCAAAAGGTAAGAGAAAACAAATATCAAGCAGACTTCCATTTCTCACTAAAATATGTCAACGCTTAATCCACATTAATATGTAATCAGATTCATTATTTAGCATTTAATTAAGAAAACAAAATCAAATTACCAACGCTAGATGATATACTGAACTGGATTTAAAACCGGTCCCTCTATAAATTTGCGTGGGATTATTATATTGTTAGGAGCATTTCTAGCTAAAATGTAAAAAATATCATGGCTTAAACCACAATAAAACTACTTAGATTGATTATTTAACATTTAATTAAGAAAACAAAATCAAAATATCCCGAAATGGATTTAAAACAGGTCTTTTCACAAAAATGCGGCGGGCTTATATTGCATTGCTAGTAAGATATATCTATGACATTTCAATTCCCCATATATCTTTCAAAATATTGAACTGAATTGACCATTTGTGGACTGAGATTCTTATTAGAGATTATTAGAGGGACTCCGATGGCGCTAAAATGAAACATCGATACTTTAAAGACCACATAAGATTAAAAATCTTAATTAAATGTACTTACAGCCAATGGTTACTATATCGATTTTACGGCAAGTTCAAACCAAACCCCACACCTTACCCTCCTACGCGAAATAAGTATAGACCCTAGAGAAACGTTTCGGTCAAGTTACCCGCATAGTACACTTTCCAGGCGCGCCTCAGACTAGCCCTAATGTTTACCCTAACTCTAACCTACAATCTCACCAACAACCTTGACGAAAATTGAGCTGGCCTTAACAAATAGATTTAGCCGAGACCTTACTCCAAACTTGACGTTTTCTCCGCCCCGTAGTCTCCCTTGCAAACATTCTTGGATTCGTCCCTGGCTACATGACGTATGTCCCTTACCAGACACCCATTCTTGTACCACTGACAAGGGGAACCCTTTACTGGATGCTAATCCCAATATTAGCATTGTGATAAGGGGAAACGATGCTGGCCGCCCCCGGATATTGAGTCATTGCCTTAGTCTACTTGGCACCTAATGACATCTGAAATACGGTGTGTAATAATTCTTATATTTGCTTTGTGACTTCCCCTGTGTCGTGCACCGGACTAACAAACAGTACAATACATACGACAGCTTTATACCTAACACACATTAACAATACCCATTCAATAATATTGTTTAATGCTTGTACTAAAAATCAGATCTGTTTACTTAATGGTAATGAGTTAATGGCCTCGTAATCGGTTGATTGGAGAGACGTCGAATTTTAAAAGGATTGATCGGATTAATACGGGAGTGATGAGATCTGTAATATTTAATCTGTAAATAAAAACGGTTACCGAAAAAACAGACGCTTATTCTATAACATTAAAACACTATCTGGGTTTGGTTGTTTGGTTATGCTGTATGGAAGACCAGATGCGTCAAAATTCAGTGAGGTGGCGAAACCTAACAAGGAGGTACTAGATTCGATTCTGGTGTTGGCTTAGAAAGCGGCTAGCGATTGTTCAAACTGGTCCCCCCTTGTCAGTGGTAGAGGACGGTCATCTATTGTATGTTGGGCAGCTTCTTGTGCAATATTTTATGATTATTGCCTGGAGAATTCCCAATATTCCCAGTTTTTCAGAAATGTTAGTAGTTCGATAAACAATGATATGCAGTGTTTTATGAGCGATATTTTGCCCACACAGGGTCCTTTTTCTGCCTACTCTTCATCGAATTCCCACTTTAAAAAAATTATCCGTTCTGAACCTCCGACACCATCAGTAATAAGATCGACTCCATCCGCCCGCCCCACCCCAACCCGGTCATACTAAACGAACCACTGTGGCCCCAATACTCAAATAGATCACATCATTACACCCATAATCACATCCTCATACTCATATAGTACATATTATTACACTCATATAGATCATACACTCATATAGATCACGCCATTACACACATATAGATGACATCATTACACACTTATAGATCATATCATTACACTCACATCAATTATATTCATATAGATCACATCATCACCACTCTGAATCTAAATCGCCTTGGTCACTTTTGTAGAAATTGGACATTGTGTAGTCATTTACGTTTAAACTAAATGAAATAGTGCGTCAGTTTCACCCAATTAATCTATATTGTGTGTGAGCGCCTACTTGCCTTTAAATGAAATCATTCATTGCCCCCCATAGATCGATTGTACCTTTCTTGTTTAAATAGATTGTTTTTGTATGAATTTGCCTTCCATAACTGTATTTAACAATAATCTTATCCACTTTTTAACAGATTACACATCCTCCATTATTGATGTATTGACTATTGTTAATACACATTTCATTGTGAAATGGATTGGCGAGTCGACTATCCACTAGGATTATAGGATTTTCTGCTGATTGGTTGATACATGGGCTTCCTCGTGCAATGATTTGTTGTGTGATGTGGAAAGTTGAAAACAAAATAGGTAACAATAATATATTTTTTTTATTTTAATAAATTTAAAAAATACAGAAGCAATCCTACCGGATAATAACGAAAACTTAGAATTCTTTCAAACTAATTGAAAACTAAAATCGGTACGTATATGTGGTAACCAGTGGATGGACTTCATCCTCGTACCTGGATTTGACGTGGGTGGATGCTTGAAACAAAAGAACAAGTAATTTACAATTTAAGATTTTAATTTAACAATACAAAAGGTAATTCCGAGCTCATGATAATAAAAACTTAGAATTTTTTGCAATTGATTGAAAGTTAGAAATTGTGTATGTGCGAATGGATTTTTTCCCCGTACCTGGATTTCATGTCGGTGGAAAGTTGAAAAAAACCCAGGACAATTAAAATTCTTACATGGATTTGATCTAGGCGAATGGTTGAATATAACGAGGTAAATTTACGTTTTTTTTTAGAATTTAAAAGGTTATTCCGGGGTTACGATGATAAAAATTAGAATTCTTTCAAATTGATTGAAGTTCAAACCGGTAAGTAAATGTGGTTTACCAGCGAATGAACTTCATCCTCGTACATGGATTTAATGTAGGCGAATGATATAAAATAATATTAATAATTTTAATTCTGGACTCATAATAAAGAACACATGGAATTTTCCAAATTGATTGAAGATTAACCCGCCCCCCCACCCAGGTAATTCTAAATTGTAAGATTTTAATAAAAGCAAACGCAATTCTGGGCTCATAATAACGAAAACTTAGAATTCGTTCAAATCGACTGAAAGTATATCTCTTCCTTTTATGTGGTAACAAGTGGATGGACTTCCTCCTCGTACCGGGATTTGATGTGGGTAGATGGATAAAAATAACCCAGGTCATGTTACATTTTTAGATTTTAATTTATTAATACAAAAGGCAATTCAGGGACTTTTCGTCATAAAATTTGGAATTCATTTAAATGGATTGAAAGCTAAAATCGGTAAACGTATAAACCAGTAGACTAGTTACTATAATATGGTCTAACCAGGAACTTTGCTATGTTAGTATCTACATTATTGTGAATTTAACTCGATTTTTATGATTCCAAGAATTCTATTCTCCCAATTTGATTAAAACACAGATCCTATTTCGTTTCGTTTTTATAGTTCAAAATTTCGTTTTACTTGTCTTCACAACACTAGGATCTGGAAGAGTTGTCATTCACTAGGTGTTTATAGTTGATGTGAGGAATTAGTCAATGAAACGGTCTGTTACGGCGAGTTCTTGGCGTGCTCTGCACGGAACGGTGGGTAAACCCCTAGAAACACCAACGCTGATCGATTTATCAATATCTGACGTCATAGGGTCAAAAGCCGCTCGTATGATCCCTGACGCGATCTTCCAGTACAACTGGTCAGATCTTCATGTAGTGCAGGCCATCGAAAGTATAAAAAACGAAACGAAATATAGATCTGTATTTTAATCAGATTGCCTATTCTATTTAATTACGGCCAAAATATGCAATTCTAACAGCTTGTTTCCTAATCCATATAATTTATTATCTATTGTATATTTTGTGTAATTATAGATACTGTTTAAAACCAATTAGAATAAGTGCATAATATGAATTTATCGGGAAATATTGCATTTCTTACTCACGGCTTAATTTGTACTCAGATATGTTATTTAACAGTTAATTCAGAAAACAAAATCAAAATATCAATTTTAGATAATCTCCCGTGTTGGATTTATTTCTACTAAAAACGGGCCTTTCAATTACATAAAGCTGACCGTCGACTTTTATACATAGGGAACGGCATAGACTGATAGAATCTCAGTTCAACATAGCTTATTGTAGTTTTCAAGAGATTCCTACTATATCGCTCAAATCGTGCCCAGAGCGTTCAGTTTTGTTAAGAGCTAAATCCGCCTATTGCAGGTCTTTGTTAAGGCCTTAAATTTTTTATAATGTATTAATTCAATCTGATTAAAGTACACATCTATATTTCGTTTCGTTTTTTTTTTATACTTTCGATGGCCTTCACCCTAGTGTTGTGAAGACAAGTAAAACAAATTTTTGAATTATACAAACACGAAACGAAATAGTATCTGTGTTTTAATCAGATTTCTATTTATTAGACATTTATTAACATATAAAGACCATAATCAAATCTCGATGCCATCTTATCTGCACGATTTTAAAAGATTTGAATCCGACCTACGATTCAATGGCTGTTCATGATTAACCGTAAAACTGGATAATCGAGACTTTTAAATTTGGTTTTCTTGACCCAGAGTGAAGTAATTTAACTGAAATTTTCAGCTTATTCTCTTTACTTTATCTATTTTTAACTATTATAGCGAGAACTGTCAGCTCTTTATCTAATTTTCATGCCTATTTAATGGACATTAAATCAAAATTCTTCGAATTAGATCAAAAAAAGTATTTACGAAGTTGATATGATGTATTATCACGATTACTGAATGAGACAAAACAAAATCGCTTTTCATTTCGAAATATTAAGCGGAAATAAATTTGTTTACTTATTTTAGCGTGTTTTAGGTTTAAAGGGTGTATAGCTCTATTCTTTGGATAAATAGATGAAAATGTATCTAAAATCACACATTAATGTAATATGAATGTATATAAACTTTTAAATGTTTTAATGTATTTTCTAATCAATTATTTTCGAGGAAAAAGGCGATCATATAGTACACTGCATGGCGTATTCCCTTCCACATTTCCCCCGACTGAAGCAGGGCCCCATTTAGTTTGATTTCAGTGCAGACAACTTATTTTTTCATCTAAATTAAAGAGGACAGTTTATTGTGAATAAATTTAAACAAACGCAATAATTCTCTGAAACTTCGCTTTAATTTCCCGTGGGGGGGGGGGGTCGAGTTGTCAAAAGTTCTTTCCTATAGTCACCAAGTAACAATCTCGTGAATTTGTCTTGGGTACTCAGGATTCATGTTGATGCTAAAGAACCTTTTGCGAAATAAAATCGTACCATGTATGTGTTAGTCCCGAAATGACCTAGTTTGTGTCGAGTGGACGCTAAACCTAATTTATCTTCCCCCGCTCCTCTCGCTATATCTAACAATTTCGATGATTATATGTAATCATAAACTTAATTAAACAGGCACCTTTTCTATGCAAGCCAAAATAGTTTTTAATCAGCCTTTGATATAACTAATCTAAAAGCAAGCAAAACCGAAAAGACAAACCTGTGGACAAGACATACACAACATCAAATCAAATGAACGGCAAGCCAGAATAATTTGTTAACATTAATTAGTCTTCGACAATACCAATTGTTGCATTTGCATAATAATTATTCTAACAGTTTGAGACCCCACGCGTCATGATTAATGCACTTGTGTTATCACGCCATAACGCCACGTACTGTAAACACACCAATCTGATTAAAACACATATCCTATTTCGTTTCGGTTTTGATAGTTCAAAATTTGGCTTTACTTGCCTTGACTATACTAGGATCTGGAAGAGTTGTTATATTACCGGTGTTTTGGTTGAAGTGAGGGATAAGCCAATGAAACGGTCTGTTACGGCGACTTCTTGGCGTGCCATGCACGGAACTGAGGGTAAACCACTAGAAACGTCAACGCTGATTGATTAATCAATGTCTGCCGTCATAGGGTAAAAAACCGCTCGTACGACCCCTGACACGACCTTATAGTACAACTTGTCAGATCTTTATTTAGTGTAGGCCATCGAAACGAAATAAAGATCTGTATTTTAATCAGATTGGTAAACACACGTTATTTTGGTAGCCTATCAGTTTAAGAATTAGAGTTTTCAAACGTTAAATTTGAGAAATCTGGATGTCTATATGATTCATTAAGTCTGTAGATGACCACAATATAGTATGTTTTAACTCCATGCAGAGATTGGACGTGATTGGCATTTTGAAATTAATATCAATATTTCTACTTTAAACCAGATCAAAGAAGTTTGGCATTTTTAATCTTCCGTAAACGAGGCCCTGGAACAATACTCTGAAACGACATTGCATGAAGTACTCCAATCATTTATCGGTTAAAAATGCAAATCGTATCGTGAAAATTATATTTTTGCGTGCTATTAATCATATAGAGTGTGTTATGTGTCAGTGACTTTATTTGATCATAAACAGAAATCATCGTTAGATTAATATTTGTGACACAATGACAAAGCTTTGCTCGATTGTTGGGCGTGGTGCTCCAATGTGTAGGTGTACGGGCGGAACTGTTTCGTTCATGCACAGAAGTTATTATTTATCTCCCGTAAAATAGGCATGTTAATGTTGATGAATTTGCTTGGCGTTATGTATATAGATCTTCTAACTTGAAGTTTAAACAAATGTTTTACTTCTGTATTTTAATATGCTTTATAGTAACATCATGGATAATATGGTGAAATGGATCGCAATATTTTTTCTAATGGCCATCTGCCGTATATCTACTGAGAATACCAAGGACCTACCTATTATAAAACTTTACAAAAAAGGTAAGTCAATGTTTTTTTTTCATATAATATACTTGTTAATTTTGTTCCTAACCTCGTGGGTTTGCTCTGTGCACTCCTTCGTCTCCCATATTTGAAACATAAGTGATCGTTTCTATTATATACTCTTCAAAAAAAGTAGGAGATATTGAAATGCAAATACCTATGCAGATTGTGATATGATAAATAGTCATGGACACTTGACATACTTTGAGAGTATGTTTACAGATGAAGAACTTATCGCCCCAACAGAACCAATGAGCTGCAATAGCGCCATACACGTGGGAGGGTTTCATTGTCAAATTTGACACTTCAAGGAAGGATTGATGAAAACTGCCGCTTGCTGGTTTATCCTATCCATGTTTGCTTTCTTATCGGTTCTTGCATAAGATTTACTGTTTAGCGTATCTTTGCTTTAGTGTGTTACGTTTAATTTGATCGGGAGACGTGTTCGTCGACGTCAACGTCAGCCGACAACACTGCAAGAATTGGCCGTGGCGCTGCAAGAGGAGTGGGTCAGATTGCCCCAAATCGTGATTGGACGGTTGATTAGGAACATTGCTGAATGTCTGAGGATTGGTGGAGCAATTATTCATTATTAAGACAAAAATCAAAAACGCCCATTTTAACTTTTGACGGTGTATCTCTTTGCGAGTGAAATGGGGCCGTCAGATAAGTCGCCCATATTAACTGTTTATCTTCATGTGTAGGCAATTGGCCTGCTATTAACATACACTGGTTACCTCTAATAAAAACAGAAGTGCATTTTTGCAGTTTTGTATTGTTTTTGAATATCCCATACTTTTTTTCCAACAGTATATATATTTTAACTGACCTAGTAGATTTGCCATGGGTATTCACGACGTCCGTCACATTTAAAGAGTTTAGAATAAAGAAGTAATTTTTTTAAATATATTTTTCCTAACTACGTGGAGTTGATCAACTACTAAACGATATGCTTTTTATATGTTTATTTTTTATTAATAAAGGCAATAGCCAGGTTTAGCGAATTGTTGAAATAGAAACATACGATCTGATAGTCCTAGAACGAGCAGATCTGCGCCGAGAAAATCTTATACCCCATATTTTTGTGTGCATATTTTTTATGCGTGTTGGGATGGTGGTGGTGGTGGTGTATGTGGGCACACATAAAGAAAACATTATAAATATTGAGTGTTTTCATGCAGAAATTATATCTTCTTAGTTAGTTGTATTTTACGTCCGCTTCCACCGAGGTGATATCGCAGACAAGCAGAAATTATATTCGTTCGTTCGTTCTTGGTGTTTAACGTCTGAGAAATTATATTGACATATGCTGTTTTATATGGACAATACCCATATTGACTGGTTTCAAATAATCAATATACATATAGAGTGTTTTCCTCTGAACCATATGAATATTGACTGTTTTCATATAGACAATATACATATTCGCTGGTTTCATAAATATATAATATACAAATTGACTGTTTTAATATGGACAAAATTGACAGTTTATAAATGTACAATTGACATATTCGCTGTTTTCATAGAGACAATAAACAATCTACATATTATTATTGGCTGTTTTCATGGAGACAATATACAAATTGAAATTTTTCATATGAACAATATACATATTGTTTTCATATGAACAATATACATATTGTTTTCATTATGAACAATATACATACTCACTGTTTTCATATATACGATATATATTACGTTTTCATATTAATAATACACAAATTCACAGTTTTCATATGGACAATATACTATAGCGGTGCAGAACAGTAGGACGTAAAACCCCATTTCATTTCATTCATGCTAATCGGTCACTCAACGAGGAAATGGTCGGATGCAAGATAGATCGTTCTGATTTAGTGGCGAATCCCGAATCCCGAATAACGTGCTGGCTCGTTATTCGTTATTCGTTATTGGCGAATCCCGAATAACGAGCCAGCACGGTATTCGGCGAATCCCGAATCCCGAATAACGTGCCAACTTCACGTTGTATCATTATCATTCATCTCGTAATCTTACATTTGTCCAGTTCTTCACAGGGCGAGTTATCGTTACATGTAAATTAACCATCTGTATGAGATATTTTGCTTTGATTTTAGAAATGATGTTTTCGTCAACGTCACCTAGAAGGGATGTGTTTTACATGCTTAATAATGATAAAATGAACGCTAGTGAACTATGTGCAGACAATACAGAAAAAATCAAGAATCGTGAGCATAGTTATGGGCACAGGTAGGTTTTAACTGTATTCAAACTTGTGCCAGATACCCAGAACCTCGTAGTCTTCAACGCACAGAGTATCTATGCCAGTTCACCACCATATGATTTCACGCGCACGGGTAGAACCTTTAGACAACACTACCTCAACCCCACTCTCGAAAATTAACGTACTTGAAAATTAACGTACTTGTGTTGTATTGTTATTGTCTTATCCATGGTTATAATTCTTATCCACTTTAGATTGTACGTAATAAATTATGGGAATGCGAGAACTGATAGATTAGAAAACATCGCAATGCCGGGAACCTACAGATGTCTGTCAAACAATTACAATGGAACATCGATATCAAAAACATTTAATGTGGTCAATGTTACAGGTGAGTATCAGAGAGAGGGGTGTGGGGGAGAGAGAGAGAGAGAGAGGTGTGGGGGGACATGGGACATGGGGCAGGGGGCTGGGGAGTCGAGGCACAGACAGAGACGCGGGCTAACGGTCCAATCCACATAAACTAAGTTATATGTTACAATTTTGTTTAAATATTTCACTTGCGCATAGACATTGTTAGCAGTGGGAGGAAACTTGAGAACCCAGAAAAAACCCTCACGAGTTTGGACAGGCGACAACCTCTTATCACTTATCAATTTGGGGTTTAAACCATGACACGTAACTCAGTGGAAAACCTTATGATCTAAAGCGAACGCGTTTGACCACTTGACCAACTACATGTAACATGGCTGGAATGTGGTTTAATATCTTGACACTTTCATGGGATCATTTTGAGACTAATTCAAGATAAAATGCGATTGAACTTCGTCCTTCCTTTTTACACCAACCTGACTATAAACGACGGAAATTTCAACCACCCTGGATACCTGTATGTACACACCATTTGAACAGCGAACACGGTGGGGTTAAATCAATGATGATAACCCAGTATCTAAGAAACCTCTACTGTATTCGGGTCCGTTGTCAGGATTTCTTTATGAATGGGGTGTCAAGATCTGAGGGGGACACGTGTAGAAGTAGAATGAGTTGGGGTGTTTTCTTCCACGAGAATATTTTAAAAATGTCGATATTGCTTATCAGATTGTTAATTACTAAATGCCTGTGTTTATAATTACAGTTTCTGAAAATATAACTTTGGACGTAAGTCAATATGATCAAACTAAATACATTCGCCTTGAATGTGGCATCAAGGGTGTAGTGCGATATGAAGATATTCAATGGTTTTATAGCAGAACTCAAGGTGCAGCAGTACACAAGGATCTGTTAGGTAAGTCCTATATCCAATCTCATGGTGAAGATATGCATGATGATCTGTTAGGTAAGTCCAATCCGAACAACTAGATATTGTCGCTTGTCAGTTCGTCCATGCCGGAAAATTCGGAAAATGACTTACTTACTGAGCTACCGGTGCTCCCAGAATAACAAGACGCCAGAAAGAAAAACTGATCGCAGCGCAGAGGAGTTAAGGTATGCGCACCGAGATATTAACATGACTAACAGTTATCAATGGTACAAGCGCATTTACGTCATTTAGACCATATTTCACTTTCGGCATGTAGATATAAAAGAGAACGTCCGTGTGTCCACTTATGAAAACCAAACTTTTTGTCAATTGTAAAATGTGACAGGTGCTGACAAAATGAGTCGCAATGGTGAATACCTGCACAATTATGTATTTTTTTTTTCAATCGGACAATATGTCCGTTTTAAGTTGCCCATTAAGTCAGGATAATAACTGTCTAATATGAAATGAAATGGGGATTAACGTCCTACTGTTCCACTCCAACTGGGCTAATGAAGATGGGCATACTCATGCAGTGTGTTATGAGGAAATATGTGCAGCCCGGACAGCGGCGCTACGGCCTACTCTTATACGCTAATGTGTATACGAGACCTCGGTTTTTCGTACCTTCCGAGACCCTGCCCCCTACACCACGGGCAAAGGGAGGAATGAGGTTTAACGTCCACTTAACACAAACTAGGTCATTATTTCGGGACTTACATATAGTTTAATTTTATTTCAATAATTCGCTTGTTCGTATAGGCGTATTTAGCAGTCGGAGGAACCGAAAGGACCCGGAGAAAACCCACGAGGTTTGACAGTCGACCCTTGCAACGTACAAGCGGAGAATTGAACCCACGTCACTTGACTCAATGTCAGACCTTCTAATCCAACACGCGCGTTAACCAATGCCCCCCCCCCCCCCTCAGATTGCTATTATAGAAAAACGGAGACTCCTTCATCCGTGTCACACTTTGGTAACAACGCTAGTTCCTTATATATTTTAGGTGTTCTTCATATCAAGTGGACGAAGACGGGAAATTATACCTGCTCAGTTGAAAATTTTGTTCATTTAACCAGTGAGTTATTGTGTTTTATAATTCTTTTAAATTCGTAATTTTATCATCAAGCAAACCGTAGCCAATATCATTTGCCCCAACCTACCGAAATGATTTTTTTATAGATGATTCATCTGGTAGACTTGTATATTTGACACTTTAAATCGTTTCAGGTCTTGTATACACACCGAACATAACCAATGGAAGCACAGGGTATATATTTACAACCAGAACCTTGACAATAAATACAAGCACAGACGCAACTTCTACAAAATCAATAAATACAACCGCTGTACCAGTCGTAGCACCAGGATACAACGACACCATACGAACAAATGTACATGTATCCCAAACATATACAAACACAGACACAATATCTACCAATTTACCACGCCCAAAAACAGTACCAACACCAACGATTACAATACCAAGATATTCCGACATACTATCAAGATACAAAGGTACAATAGCAATAACTATGCAAGCATATACGGACGCAGAAGCAATATCTACGAATTCACCAAACACAGGCGCAATATCAACCAATTTACCACCCACAAACATAGTACCAACATCTACAATTACAATACCAAGATATTCCGACATACTACCAGGATACGAAGGAGCAACAGTAACAACTGTAAACGCAATGCCAGCATATTATACCGAAGCAGAAGCAATATCTACGAATTTATCAAACACAGACGCAATGTCAACCACTTTACCACCCCCAAATACAATACCAACACCTACGATTACAAAACCAAGATATCCCGACATATTACCAGGATACGAAGGTACAATATCAACAACTATAAACGTAATGCCAACATATACGGACGCAGAAGCAATGTCTACCAATTCACCAGTACAAACACATTCGAGTACAATACCAAGATATCCAAGTGAACTACCAGATAACGATGACACAATAGCAACAACTATAAACGCACTACCAGAATACATTGACGACGTGGGAACACAACGAACCATAACACCAACACTTACAATGCCGAAATTCGAAGTTACCAATACAATGCCAGCACCTATAATTACCACACCAACATATGCGATACAAAACCCAATATTTAAAACCATGCAATTAACATATACCAACATAGCGCCTATAATTACCACACCAACATATCCACAACAAAACCCATTATATACAACCTGGACACAAACATATATAACCACAGCACCTTTAGACACAACATCTGCTTATACAAAAACAACACTGATGTCCGAATACAATACACAAACGTCTACAAACCCAGCACTGACACCAACACATACAATACATGCTTCTTTATATACAAACACGACAGCAACAAACAGAACGAAGCGATCAACACACAATGACCCAATAATGGTACCCAAAAACATTATACGAACATCTACAAACACAACATTAACACCATTAGATGCAACACCAACGTATATAATGCAAATAGCAACAGGTACAAACATGACTGCGACGCATACACACGCGATGACGACACGTAACAATACGAATGCAACATATACAAACGCGATGGTAACCCATATAAACGCGACATCAACATATACCACGTCAATACCAGCACATACCAATACGATACCAACATATACCAACACGGTGCCAACATATACCAGATCGATACCATCAAATACAAACACGATACCAACATATACCAAAACGATGCCATCAAAAACAAACACAATACCAAGACATACATCAGCAATACCATCACCCACAACAACAATGCCAACGTATACAAACACAATGTCAACAAAAACAAATGCAATATCATCAACATATACCACCTCGATACCAACACATACAATCACGATACCAGCATATACCAACACAATGCCAACATATACCAGATCGATACCATCAAATACAACCACGATACCAACATATACAAATAGAATACTGAGCCATACATCAGCAATACCATCACCCACAACAACAATGGCAACACATACCAACGCAATGTCAACAAAAACAAATGCAATATCACCAACATATACCACCTCGATACCAACACATTCAAACAAGATACCAGCATATACCAACACAATGTCAACATATATCAGATCGATACCATCAAATACAACCACGATACCAACATATACATCAGCAATACCACCACCCACAACAACAATGGCAGCACATATAAATGCAATGTCAACAAAAGCAAACCCCATACCATCTAAGGGTTCAACCGAAAACACAAAAATCACAACCAAAGAACCAGTGACGCAACCAACAACAATTCTTGTCGTAGAAGAAAAGAGTAAGTTGTTACTAATATCTTTTATTGTGTTAAAGCTTGCAGATAAGTTAAATCCGAAAACAGCATTCAATAATTCATTCTTTTACAATGTCCTTGAAACAGGCCTTTAATTAATTAGTAACTAGAACGAACGGAACTTTCATACCGGGAAAGGCCCACGAACAGGTCGTGAGTACTATGCCAACGCATTGAGTTGTTTGGATACTAAAGTCCACGTGTCTGTCAGAAGAACTCTGTTTATTTGTTGGAGCAGAGGCTATTGCTACATGTTAAAACCATGGGACGTAGGTGGGAAGGATTTGGCTCGTTTTCTTGAATTTTCTCCGCGTACATTCACGACCCTTGTTAAAAATCTAATTACTGAAATAAAAAATGGAACCCTTACAAGATGGGTAATTAGAAAATATGCCGCTATTTGCCTACATTTTTGACATAATATACTCTTCAAAAAAAAGTAGGGGATATTGAAATGTAAATACCTATGCAGGTTGTGATATGATAAATAGTCATGGACACTTGACATGCTTTGAGAGTATGTTCACAGATAAAGAACTTATCGCCCCAACAGAACCCCTGAGCTGCACATGCGACACGCAATAGCGACATACATGTGGGAGGGGTTCATTGTCAAATTTGACACTTCAAGGAAGGGTTGATGAAATCTGCCGTTTGCTGGTTTATCCTATCCATGTTTGCTTTCCGACCGGTTCTTGCATAAAATTTACTGTTTAGCGTATCTTTGCCTTTGTGTGTTACGTTTAATGTGATTGGGAGACGTGTTCATCGACACCAACGTCAACCGACAACACTGCAAGAATTGGCCGTGGCACTGCAAGATTAGTGGGTCAGATTGCCCCAAATCGTGATTGGACGGTTGATTAGGAACATGCCGCGACGAATTGCTGAATGTCTGATGATTGGTGGAGCAATTACTCATTATGAAGACAAAAATCAAAAACGTCCATTTTCACTTTTTGACAGTGTATCTCTTTGCGAGTGAAATGGGGCCGTCAGATAAGCCGCCCATATGAACTGTTTATGTTCATGTGTAGGCATTTGGCCTGTTATTATATAACATACACTGGTTACCTCTAATAAAAACAGCAGTTCATTTCCGCAGTTTTCTGTTGTTTCTGAATATCCCCTACTTCTTTTGAAGAGTATAGATCCACGTGTAACGAAGCGCTGTTTAATTTCATTTAGTCCCGTGGCAGAAGGGGGATGGCGAATTTATGAGACCAGGTTTGTTGCGTCGACGTCGATTCTGGGTGGTGATCAGGTGTGACTTACACATTATTGGAATTAATATTTTACTGATCTATAATATGGTCATCACTATAAAATTTCGTGTTCCCACACGTCAAAGACTCCCCTCCCACCCCACGAAGCGTAACAATTGTCCCAGATCACCCTATAATCTTATGTATATATGTACAACGCTAGCAATTCATATTTTACTAATCTATAAGATGATCATAACTTTTATCAACGTCACTCAATTTTATGCATTGCGACCCCCTTGCCCGTATCTTGGACAAGTCAGATCACCACCAGAATTGATATCTACACACAAAAACTACTCTAGAAATATTGGGTTTCATAAAGTCTCCTCGCATCCTCGCATGTGGGTATGCCCCAACACCCCGAGACATCCGACTGGTCTCCGCATCCCTTTATTTTACTTATGTATTGAATTGTATTTTTTGAAGGACAAGGCGCAAAAATAAAAGCAACAATGGGCCGGATATACGGTGTTGTTGGGGCAAAAGTTACACTTGAGTGTGTAAGAGTGTGGAAGTAAGTATATGGTTTATCTTACAGTATTTTCAGCCTAATACAATTACCTCAAAAAAAACCCATAACCCAAAACAAATTGCACCGCAAAAGTTAGATTTTGATTATCATTCAGTTGGGTATTCTGAACGTAAAAGCGTCTCCAAAAATCGAACATCTGGAAAGGGTCTAATTAGCATAAATTCAAGATGGCCACCAGTTTAGAACTTAGCATCCAAATAACGGCTGAAACGTTCACTTTAGAGCATAAAAAAGTATTATGGACATATGGAAACATGTACCCAAAGCATTCAAATAGTTCTATATTTACCAGCCTTATTGGTGGCTCGGTGAATACGGCGTTTGCTCACTAACTAGGGTTCCTACGAATCGGTCGGGGGTCATGGTGGGTCAGTAAGATGTTGGCTTGCTAACCTAGAAATCCTGCGTTGACCGAGAGAGTTCATCGAAATGTTTCCGTCGTGGTTCGCCTTTATCAGTGGTGTAGGACAGGTGGCCTGGCAACGCACAGCATAAAGACGTTCGGATGTGACGAAAAACCGAGGTCCCGCGAACACATTGGCGTGCATGTAAAAGATCTCTTGGTAGTTGGAATTTGATATAAGCGTAGACTCTCTAGAAAAATCCTTCATTAGCCCAGTCGGAGCAGAGCAATAGGACATTAAACGCCAGTTCGTTTCACGATTCGATCATGATCTACGGTGCAGTTGGGGAAACCGTTACACTAGGGCGTGGAGGTAATTCCATCTCAAAGTCTACCAATTGTTTCAATGGTATTTAGTTACTAGATGTCTTTGAAAGAATTTATCAGATATCAGTATGGCGAAGTGGCAGTCAAACTTATCGATCAGATAATGAAGGATAAATGTATACATACATATAACACTCTAACTTTCTGAATGCTATACAAAGATGACGGTGTATCAGTGTAGCATTTATCCCATTGGCTATTATTAACCGATATTGAATTTATTTATTTTCACGATATATTTTATAACTGTACCATTGCTTTGTGAAAGACTAGAGACACTTAGCCAAAACGTCCGTCAGTAATCATTGCGAATGTAGAGAGAGGGAACGAAATGGGGTTTAGCGTCCACTCGGCACAAACTAGGTCATTTCGGGAATAGCAAAAGGGGGGGGGGGCTGAATGGATAACGCGTGCGCGTTGCATAATTAGGTCTGTCATTGAGTCAAATGGCGTGGTTTTGATTCCCCGCTTGTACGTGACAAGGTGTAGGGTCGACTGTCCAACCTCATGGATTTTGTCCAGGTCCTCCAGTTTCCTCCCAGTGTTAAAGAGCCTACGCGCACTCATATTATTGGAATCAAATTGTACCATCTGTTAGTTCCAAAATGTCGAGTGGAAGTTAAACCCTATTTCGCCATTATGTTATATATATATATATGACATGTTGCCAAGGTAGCATTACTCATTGTGTTTGTTAGCTGCCCATTGTTTGGAATGTGCGGCCTTTATCTTATTATTTATGTAATTATCGACCATTTTGTATTTCCTTTAGAGATCATAATGTGATAATAGATTGGAAATTTTCGAACTACACGGATATTAAAAGTAATCATAAATATCATTTTCAAGAGCCGGATCAATGGAGTTTAGAGATCTGGAATTTAACCCGTGAAGATACGGGTAATTATACATGTCTAATTGACGGACAACTCGATCCAATCTCTGCGGCCAGAATTGAACTTATAGTTACTGGTAAGTTATATACTTTGCTACCCCTCCCCCTTGCAATCTAATTAAATATAACCCAACTATATCCATTGGACTTATATTTATTGGTAAATTATAAACTTTGCTATCACTCCCCACCCACCCTCTTTACAATCCAATTAAATATAATCCAACTTTATCCATTGGGCTTATAGTTATTGGTAAATTCTATACTTTGATGTCAGCCCCCTCCCTTCCCTGCAATCCAATTAAATATAAACCAACTTTATCCATTGGACTTATAGTTATTGGTTAATTATATACTTTGCTGTCAGCCCCCCCCCCTTCCCTGCAATCCAATTAAATATAAACCAACTTTATCCATTGGACTTATAGTTATCGGTTAATTATATACTTTGCTGTAATCCTCCCCAATCTTCCCTGCAATCCAATTAAATATAAACCAACTTTATCCATTGGATTTATCGTTATTTGTGAGCTCGATATTTTGTTATCACTTTCCCTACCCTGAACTTATTTTGTTATCAAACACATCCAATCCCCTCCTGCAATCTAGCTAGATAAAAAAAACACAAACATTTGATCCCTCTCTGTGAGAGGATAAACCATATTTGTTTTTTAGCCGAATAAGGATCCATATTGATTTTCAAATTTGGTGTGAAACATTTGGGTCGGAGAAGAATTCTGTGGATTTTCAGCATTATAGGTTTATCTGTTATAGATATAGGTCTGTAGTGTATAGATCAGATTTCTCGAAGGCATCCTTATCGAATTCGGTTAACATCCAAGTTTTCAATTCAGATAAGTTGCCGTTTATGGCATACCTCCTTTTCAAGACAAAACCGCACTGTGTGATCCACGCTTTGAACCTCTAACCCATTTATTGGCCAAATATTGTAAAGTAATGGATATATTTGCAAACAAATATAACCCCTCATAACAGATGACGAAATCATAGCCTTAAAAATGTCTAAACCTCTAACTCAATAATTTCCATAATATTCGAAATTAATACCATGAAATATAATTCAATATTGGTCCATTTCAATATCAATATTCTTGTTCCCGTGAAAATATGGGTTCATACTGTCCAATATTTAAGACACCGTGAACATTTTATAATCACTAAACGAGTCGTATATACTATATTTTCGGGGAAAGTAATTAATAAAGGCTGATTCACAAACGCCCAAATGATAATAAAACGTGCAGAATGGACTAAGAAGGCGTAAACGACTGTCGTTCAATTTGGACTGTTCACGTATTTCACCAATCATAATTTATTAGAAAATGAAATGAAATGGAGTTTAAGGCCCTACTGTTCTGCTCCTAAACTGGGCTAATGAAGACGGACATACGCCATACAGTGTGATATGAGGGAAATTTACCCGGGCAGCGGCATCGAATTCCAACTGCCAAGGGATCTTTTACGTGCACGCCAATTTGTAAACGGGGCCTCGGTTTTTCGTCTCATCCCAATGACTATACAGCTGTCCTTGGCAGACCCTCCGTCCTGCATCACTGACAAGGGGAAACCACGCCGGAAAATCTGGATGAACTTTCTCGGCCAATGCAGGGATCGAACACCCGACCTCCAGACTGGCGAGCCATCGTCTTACCCACTTAGCCACGTGATCCCTAATTTATTAGAACTTTTTTTAAAAACGTTGAATATAAACCACTTTATACGCACTCATTTTACATTGATCTGTGCTTTTATAACCATTTTCGTCTTTTTCAAGGTTCTAAGGAATAGAGCCATGCGCCCCTTAAACACATAATACAGTGTACTTATTAACACATGACTGAAAGGCAAGGCTACCAGTTCACCTCAAAACTCACTTAACTTCCAAGACCAATATTTCATTCTAATTACAATGCTGGTTGTATCGATATTATGTTTTAAACTTTTTTTTTCTTGTATCTGGGGGCAGCAAACTCATTATTACTTTTTTAACTCTATGTTTTGAGATATTCCTTTTACGGATTAATCCCCCCGGCTTCCATTAGCCAAATCACGTTAACAAAAACAAACGTTTAGTTTTATCGGATTTTACCGGGCTTTGTTATCGAGTATATAACATTTTGCATTTTTTGAATATTTGATTGGTCCAGTTCTCGTGTATGCTATAAATAAATGTCTTTGTGAATGACAAGGTATTAATGTGATAAAACTACACACCAAGTGTCCTCACTCTCACTTAATTAGAACTAAAGTTATCGTGTCCCAAAGCATCAACCAATCAAATTGCTTATCCCCGCTTATCCTAAGCAGAAAATGCTCAACGAGCTACATCAAGACATTCACCTAAAAAAACACCTACGCCAAGTTTGAACATTCTAGTTCAATTAGAATGAGAGTGATTGTGTTCCAAAGTCTCGACCAATCAAATTGTTTATCGCTCTGCTTACCCTGAGCAGAAAATACTCATTATCGAACTTAGTCAAGGTAATGATGTAATGAAACAATACACCAAGTTTCGTCACTCTCACTTTATTAGAACTAAAGTTATCGTGTCCCAAAGTATCAACCAATCAAATATCTTATCTCTGCTTACCCTAAGCAGAAAATGCTCATCTTCGAACTCCATCAAGGCATTGACCTAATAAACACCTACATCAAGTTTGAACATTCTAGCTCAATTGGAAAGAGAGTTATTGTGTCCCAAAAAGTGTGACGGACAGACGGACGGACGGACAGACGGACAGACAGACATATTTAATAGTCCCCTGTTTTCTTCGAAAGGCGTGGGACAACAAAAAAAATTATTCAATTTCAAACGTAGTACCCTTCCAGGACCCATTGTGCTTACAATATATCACTTTAAAAATTATGTTCAATTTTTGTTCTATTAATGAGCTAGTTTTCCTGCTATAATAGGGGAGTGTGGGTGCAAATGGTCTAAGCGCTGTTATGAATGTCTGTCTCGATTTTCAGTCCATTAGTCAGCAGTTGTCCATATTAACGTTTAACGCGGATATGGCAGGCATTGTCTACCCCACTTAGTGACCCGATAGTCTAGAGTGTTGATTATGTGTCAGGTGAATAATCCTCAAAATAATAGTTTATAAAATATTTCAACCCAGAAAAAATGACCAGCAATAGGCAGACTGAGCTCTTAATGCACCTTTAAAGGGACTATCCCGATTTCAACAGAGTCTCAAAAATAAAAGTCGGAGTACGTATGAAATTTAAGTGCCAAAATATAGAGGAATGGTGTATTTACAGTCTCTCAAAATTCCAGCCCAAAATATTGAGTCGTTTGGACGTGAACGTCAAAACTGCTTATCCGTAACCCTTTTAAGATTTCGGGTCAATTTTTTCGTTGGGTGACCTGATAATCGATTCCCGTTCCTTGGGAGGTCTATATAGTGAATGACCCATGTGATCTACTTGATAACGAAAGGTAAATTTCACCTACACATTATTTTTATCAAATAAAATTCTGGTTTTATCAAGACACCACATAATACAGCTTGTGACACCGATCTCCATTTCCAGATGAAGACTGACGGGTTTAAGTTGTTTGAAAACTTATCACAAATATTGAGATAGTTGCTCGGTCTTTAGCTAGAGGATTTTAAGGGATTGTAGCACAAAATTAAGCAGTTTTATTCTCCAAAAAATATCGGGATTAGCCCTTTAAGTTGAAATCATAACAATGTTATTAGAATACTAGATAAGCGATGCCCTTGGCCGTCGACAACCAAGTTCCCACTTTTACTAAACGCTGCTATAGACGCTCCAAATGCGTTCACTTCCTTGTGTTAAATGTTTCGCAGTTAATTACTGTTTTTGGATATTATTCAATAGATTTTCCTAGCATCCACTGGTAAGCTTATACCGTTGACTAATGAAGATAGGTCTTTTAGTAAGGAAAAGTTTTGTCCTTAAATCATGTATAGTATGTATAGAAAGTGGGTAGAAATTATACAGTTGTCATTAATTAGTACATGTAGGTGTGTAACTAGCTGTAAAAGATGTCACTACTGGTGTAAAAGCGTGACTATTTATAATACCCATCAATATTGAATACACAAATCTGGACAATAGTGGTGTATATCATTCACAGTTTTAACACCTTAGTGACAAAAACATTTACCTAATGACCACTGCTTGATTACTAACAATTTTAACTAACTAATACACATTATGTATATAAACTGACGACTTTGATCTATTGTATCGTATATTTTCATTTATAACAGTTATTTGTTGCTTAGTCCACGATATCAATATTACAGTGATCGTAAATGGGTCGATCCAATACATCGACTGATAACGATTAACATTCCCAACTGGTTTAATTGTGGACGATGAAAGTTATATTACTGCGCATGTGTTCATAGCAAACTGTTCAGATCTGTCCTAATAGTTTTGTTGTTTTTTTGTTTTTTTGCAACTTTTGCAATTTATGTTGATGTTCATGGTGTTATTTTTCTTTTTGTGGGCGACTCTTTTCGAAAGGGGGGTTGGATGGCCGAATGGTTAGCACGTGCGCGCTGTATCATAAGGTCTGTCATTGAGGAAACTGGCGTGGTTTCGATTCCCCGGTTGTAAGTGACAAGGGGAAGGGTCGCCAGTTTCCTTCCACTGCTAAAGACCCCAACGCACAAGCGAATAATTGAAATAAAATTAAACAAAGTGTTAGTCCCGAAATGACCTCGTTTTTGTCGCGTGGACGTTAACCCTCTCTCTCTCTCTCTCTCCCTCGCTCCCTCTCTCTCTCTCGCATTCTCTCTCTCTTTTCTAAAAGAAGCCTAAGGTTCCGTCACTTCATAACGCTTGACATGGTTGTTCCTTGGACAATTGGGCCTCGATTTAAGGGATCTTATTTTGATATGATACCATGATTCCCAAATGAGTGCGATGACGACATGTCCGTGTCCATACTACGCGCATTCATATTTTAAGAGTAAAGTATTCCTAAAGTAAAATTGAATTTGATAATTTACTGTTTGTGCTTCGTTTTTGTTTTTATTTTTAGATCAGTTCCAATTTACAGTGAATTCCGCCACTAAATATTCTGAATCAGAAGAAATACTTTTCGTAAACTACCATAATTGTTCTACAAACCAGGTCAACACCACAACCACTTGGTATGTAAATGGCCAGAAATCAGGTAATTTGTATTTTTTAAGGGGGTGATGGCTAAATAAAATGACATCAAATAGTGTTTAATGTTCTACTTATCTGCTCCAACAAGGACAATCACCTTTTACTTATTTTGACTTCAAACTGCCAGATGATTTTTAGTATGCTAGCAAATGGTATACACGAGGGACTTTGGGTTTTCGTCCCATCCGGACGACTAAACTATTGTCCTTGCTAAACCCTCCGTTCTCAACCACTGACAAGGGAAGAGGAAAAAGTCCGGAAAATACCGCTGAACTGTTACAAGTTTTACAGATTTATATCTGTTTAACTCAAAGGACAATTTGGGTGTAAAGCAAATTAAAAAAAAGAATGGCACAAAAAGGACCAACATTTAGAAAAAAATTGATTTGGTTTTTAAATGTTTTATAATTTGTTTATTTTTAATAGAAGCTGCCCCGTTTGGTGATAGAGATTTAAAATATGAGGCTGGTTGTATACAGTGTGACGTTAAGACAACAAACATAAGCCTCTTTCACCAGACATGCTATTTGAAATTAAGTAAGTTTATAGCATGTTTAAATATATAGATGAACCAACGCTTGTAACTAACACTGTTTTGACCCGCGTGGGGCATATTTGGCGGTGCCGATAGATGAAATCACGTTAATAGAGTACTGCAACGGTTTAACGTACAATAGTTATGTTCTGTTACACGTACATTAGTTGATAATAAGATTTTCACACGTACATTGAATAACAATATAATGTTTACACGTACATTATATAACAATGTGGTGTTTACACGTACATTAGATAGTAATTTGGTGTTTACACTAGACTATATAATAATATGGTGTTTACGCATATATTGGATAACAATATGGTGCTTACACGTGCATTGGATAAGAATATGGTGTTTACACGTACCATATATAACAGTATGGTGTTTACACGTACATTGAATAATAATATTGTGTTTACATGTACATTAGATAGTAATATGGTGTTTACACTACAATAGACAATAATATGGTGTTTGTACATACATTGTTTAAGAATGTGGTGTTTACATATACACTGGATAACATTATGGTGTTTACACGTGCATGACATAACTATGGACCGTATATAGATGGACAGGCAACGTCCACGAAACCTTTAGAATTCTGTGCCGCGGCAAACAATAGACCGGACAATCGTGACTAAAATAAAATTACCTCCCCTCGCGCAATTACCAGTATTAAGTTTAAAAGCAAAGAAACAGAAATCAATTCATAATATTTTTATTAATCTTGCTACTCCTTTTTTCTTTGCAATCGATACATAGATAGACTACTAAATGATGATTGGGGTGTAAATATATCAACACATCGTCTTTGTTTACTTCGGACGCGCCCATGTGAATCAGAAAAAAAACCATGTCGAGTTTTTGTTAAAAACAAACCTACTAAAACACTCTTTTATTTTTTACTTGTGCACAATTATTATACCTGAACTTTATTTTCATAATTTTAAAATCCTTCATACATGCGGGAATTTGGAGTATTAAGCGTACAAAAACTACGAAAATATTGAAATCGATCATTAAATAAATTCCAACTGCTGCATTTTAAACCGGAGATATTCGTCACTACCGGATATGAATACTTCTACGGAGGAGTTCGGGAAATTAATCTGTATAAAATCGAGCTATGTCAAAAATCACATCGCTTGATTTGCCGTTGACATTGAGATCTCGCCGTGTCTCGCGCGAGCGGCAGAGAATCCAACCAATGGCACTCGTTGCCTGTCCATCTATATACGGTCCATGATATAACAATATGGTGTTTACACGTACTTTGGACAATAATATGGTGTTTACACGTATATTAGATAATAATATGGTGTTTTCACATATATTAGATAGTAATATGGTGTTTACACTACAATACACGTACATTATATAACAATATGGTGTTTACACGTACCTTGGATAATAATATGGTGTTTACATGTACATTATATAATGGGGGGTTGGATGGCCTATTGGTTAGCGTGTGTGCGCTGCATCATTAGATACAAATTTTGCATTTAAATGGCGATGTTTTGTTCTGCGTTCGGACTAATAACCCCCAGTCTACAATTACGTGAAATAGCCCCTTATTTGTATAAAGTGTCCAAGGTCATATGGATATTCTAGTGTGTTTTATCATAGTTGAGAGGGAACAACGCCATTCACCTTGTATTTGACATCTACAGAATCATAGATAAAGAAAAGGGATTGATTCATTTCTATGCCATATATTTTTTCAGAAAAGCTAACAATACTCCATCAGCCACCACTAGTGCAAAAAGTATCCAATCTTAAAGAATTGGATTTCACCGTAATAGCCACCACAGAGCCACTCATAAATATCGATATTGAGTGGGACAGCAGGATAACCGATCTAATGCGGAAATCTAAAAGTGAGACGCTGTTCAGTGGAGAGATGATAAGCGCAATCAAGTTCGAATTAATTCCAACAGGAACAGCAACATTACAGGAGTACCGTGGTAATTTCAGTTGTAATGTATCAACTGATTATGGTCAGAAAGTTATTACAACCCAAGTTATTTTGTCTTATCTATCCAGCGCAGGTTTGATATACTTTTTGTTTTGTTTTGTGTAGTTTGAGCTTTTTATTGGTGTGGTTTTTACGCGTTGTGTGTATTAGTGTGGTTTGTGTGGGTTGTAGAGGTTTGTTAGTGTGGTTTGTGGTTTTTGTTGGTGCGATTGTGTTTGTGTGTTTGTGGTTTTTGTTGATTTGATTATGGTTTCTGGTTGCATTTAATTAATATTTAATTATGAGTGGTATCATCTTGCTATGTTTCCTCGAAACTGAAGATCCTAAATATATAACCATGGATGGGACAAGATACTCAAATGTGTACTGTTAACACTCTCTCTCTCTCCCTCCCTCTCTCTTTTTATCATTTCATCTCTTATTTATATTAATATCTAATCCTCATGTGACATTTATCGATTGAGTACATTAAAAAACGCAGCACAATTTATATAGAAAACAGTCACCGGTTTATACACATATAGCACGACGTTTCGACAAGTATTCTCTTATCATTTTCTAGTACAAAACTTCGTGCTATATGTGTATAAATGAGTGATTGTTTTCCATATAAATTATTTTGTGTCTTTTATATTAATAACTTCCATTTGTTTGTATAGATACTGATACCAATTGGGTTGTAGGGCCTATAATCACTGGTGTCACCGTTCTAACTGTATGTATACTTGTATGTATCGTTAAAAGAAAGTTCGGTTGGTTTAAAAAGGTGAGTAGTTTTAGATCTTTGATTGATTTTGTTTGAAGCATCTGAGAGTCTGAGACAGAGATTACGGACATTACATTACCCATTATTTCTGGACGTTTAGATCTGGGGGTTGGGGTGACTTAGCTGACCGTTCAGAAGAAGAAGACGAAGGGGGCGTTTATACCATTAGCTCTGTCATGTAACAAGATCCTGAGTTTAGTCGTCAGTATTCTCGTGGTTGTTTTTACGGGTATTCTGGTTTCCTCCCACCGTTAAATACCACCTTGGCATCGATGTCTGCAGATCCATCAAATATGACCGTATGACAGGATTAAAACTACTGATTATCTTTCGCCAATATATTCGACTTCTTTTCCAACCTAGGAAGATTTATATTATAATTTACAGAAAATTTATGAAAGGCGGCTCATGCGAATGGCAGCTAAAGAATTTGATGAGATAGGTTTATCCATTAGTGTAAGTAAATATATGTTTAATCTTTTAGAGATTTTAGCAAATTTTAGTAAATGGCCACACAATAAACTATAACACATTTTTGTGGAAGAGATCTACTAAGTTATTTATTCGACATTTCGAAGAGTATTCTCTCAATGTGATCAAGCTAATTAAGTTAAACCATGAAACCATACATGACCATAATAAATACATTAAATTAAAGGGACATTATGGAAGATTAGATAAAGAGCGGACAGTTTTCCTTATAGTAGTCAAAAACTAGATAATGTAAAGGGAATATGCAGAAAATGTCTGTCAAATTGCTCCACCCTGAACCGAGATATTAGCGATCCAATTTTAGGCCTAGCCTCGATCATCATTACTAAATTCGGTACGATAATAAACACATAGTCTCGATTATCCATTTTGTTTTTTTTGATTTAATCATCAATGAGCGTTGAGCAGCAGATCGGATTCAAATCCAGTGAAAGTCCGACACATAAAATGGCATTGGGAGTTGATTAAGGTCTTTTCATGTTAATAATTGTCTAATTAATAGTTTATATAACATTTCAGGCCTAAAGAAAGACTTGCAATAGGCAGATCTAGCTCTTGCATAATGTATGTTTAATTAAGTAAATATGTTTAGTATCAAATACATTAAATTAGAACGTACTGATGTTTTGTGTGCCTTGTTTTTATAGTTAGAATGGTCGAAGGCGTCCGCTTTAGATCATAAAGTCTGTCTTTTGGGCAAATGGCGTGGTTTCGATTGCACACTTGAACGTGACAAGGAATCGTGACTTTCTCCGGTTCCTCCAGCTTTTAAAGATCCCTACTCGCAAGCAAGTTATTGAAAAAAACTGGACCATGTTAGTCCCATGATGACCTAGTTTGTGTTGAGTGGATGTTAAACTAGATATATATTTTATCAAACTGTGTTCTATTGTCTGACATAAAATTTAGTCACGATTTTAACTAATTAACGTGGCTAGAGCTAAACTTGAAAGGAGAGCAGCTAATTGGTTTAAAATATAATTAGTTCGTCACGTAGTGTAGACCAACCATACGTAAAACTGGAAGTAGAATATAGGTCACCTTTTTAATTAGCTTGTTAAACAGGCATTATGCATAAGCTAAATCTGCCTATTGCAGGTCTTTCTTTATGGCTTAAATCTTATATAAATTATTAATTAGCCATTAACTAACTTATCCAGACTATAATCAACCCTCGATGCCATCATATAGTCTCCATTTTCAACCAATTCAAATCCGATCTGCGCTTCAACGGCGGTAGATGATTTACCATTAAAATGAATAATCGATACTTTGTTTATTATCGTAACAACGGTAGCAATGACAATCGATGCTGCGGTGTTATTGTAGAGACCATATCGTGGCCCAGAGTAAAGTAATTTGACTGATTCTTTCAACATATTCTCTTTTCATTATCTAGTTATTAACCATTATAGCGAGAACTGTTAGCTCTTTATCTAATCTTCCATAATGCCCTTTTAATATATTCTAAAATCTATTACCTCAGAACCAGATGAAATCGAGGTATGTGTCGGTTCCAAAATCAAACGAGGGGTTTCCTCGACAACGTCTTCGAATTCTAGAAGTACTCGGCGAGGGTAACTTCGGGAAGGTGGTAAAGGCCGAAGCTCTGGACATTAATGGTAATGGTGTGTGGGAAACCGTGGCTATTAAGATGTGTAAAGGTTAGTTTCGTAATGATTCGTGATGACAGAGGCGTAAAGGTGTGGGGGTGTGGGAGAATAGCGATCGACGGCCCGGATCATCTCCGTTGTACAATCTATCCTATAGTAGTTTCACAAGATGGTGTAAATGCGAATCCTTGTTTTAATTAATACGCGAGGCCATGGTAAAGAACCTGTGACAATCTGCGAATAATGTTAATTAATATAATATAGAGCAGTGGTAAATCTATGAGCGCCTTAGAGTTGTCTTCCGTTCTTACATTTCTCAGTCTTGGGTGCATACACTCAGGGGAGTTAGCACAAGACATCACCAAACTGGGGGTAAATGTAGATGAATAATATTTCTAAAATGTAAATGGACAATATTTCTATTCTGGTCACTGTTAATGTTTTAAACCTCATTTGTAGGGTAATAGACACCTTATCAATACCCACACCAGTGACTGAATTAAGATAGTAGTCTCCCCTCCGCCGCGATACTGCAGTTCTACGTGGGACGGCAAATCATATTGTGCCGATAGCATGCGCGTTGTTTACATCGGACGTAGTAAAGGAATCTGGCCCGGGCAGAATTGGTGCCTTTTACTCATTTCACACCTTCGCGTTCTATTTGATATACCTGTTTACAATAACTAGGAAATATTCTTTATTCTGATATACATCCAACACATTTATTTATTTTTCCACGTCTTCAGTAGCCCAGTCGGAGCTGAACGGTAGGACGTTAAACCCCATTGCATTTTATTTCATTTATTTTTTTTTTCTTAATAATTTATAAAATTGCAGGAAAAAAGGTTAACATTGTTAGCTAATTAACTCACCCTGATGTGGCTCGGTGAGTAAGACATTGACTCGCTAAACTGGGAGTTCCGTGTTCGATCCCGTAGTTGGCCGACAAAGTTCATAGGGATTTTCAAGCCAAACCTACCCCCGCCAATCCCTGTCAGTGGTGCAGGGGGTAGGGCATGGCAATAGAAAACGTATAGTCGTTAGGATGGAACGAAAAACAAAGGTCCTTTATACGCATTGGCATGCACATGAAGGAACCATTGTTAGCTGGAATTCGATATATGAGTAGGCTGTAGTGCCACTGTCTGGTCAAAATGTCCCTTAAATCACTCTGTATGGCGCATGTCAGTCTTCATTAGCCCAGTCGGAGCAGAACGTTAAACTCCATATTATATCATTTCATTACTGGGGGTCACGTTGGCTAAGTGGGTAAGACGCGGGCTCGCTAGCCTGGGGGTCGAGTGTTCGATCCCTGCATTGGCCGAGAAAGATTATCCGGCGTGTTTCCCCCTTGTCAGAGGGTCTGACAAGGACAGCTGTCTAGTCGTTCGGATTGGACGAAAAACCGAGGTCCCGTGTACACATTGGCAGTTGGAATTCGATATAAGAGTAGGCTGTAGTGCTGCTGTCCAGGCAAAATTTCCTTCATAGACAGTATGGCATATGCTCGTCTTCATTAGCCCAGTTCGGAGGAGAACAGTAGGCCGTTAAACTCCTTTTCATTTTATTACTTTTTGTGTTTACTGACAGAGACAGCAACTGATTCACAGAAAGAAGATTTCGCCCATGAATTAGCTCTGGTTAAACAGATACCTAAACATTCTAATGTTGTTAATTATTTGGGTTATTGTCAAAGTGCCGGTAAGTACCTTTATGGTCTACGGGGTGGGGGAGGGGGTGTTTCAGATGGTCATAATAATATCGGATAGTACAAAAAAAGCAAGATGATAACCCCTATTATCAGTTAATCAAATAATCAAAGCTGTATATATATCAGTGGTGTGGTTCCCCCCTGGAAGTGGTACAGGACAGAGGACCGTTCAAGGGAAAACGTATAGTCGTTCCGATGGGTCGAAATCTGAGACCCCGTGTTTACATTGGCGTGCACGTAAAAGAACCCTTGACAGTTGGAATTTGATATAATAGTAGTACGTCCGCGCAAAATGTATCTCATAGCACACAGTATGACGTTTGCCCCTCTTCAATAGCCCAGTCGGAGCAGGACACAGTATGACATTTGCCCTTCTTCAGTAGCCCAGTCGGAGCAGTACAGTAAGACATTAAACCCCCATTTTATTTTACATGTGATTCTTTCAGATCAACCAACCTTGATGATTCTAGAGTATATATCTGGGGGGAATCTTCTACAGTTTCTACGTAAACGTCGACCTAATATTAAACTCGGAGAAGACGCCTTGGAACCGCTGGATTCCTCTGACCTTTCATCGTTTGCCTATCAGATCGCGAAAGGCCTAGAGCACCTGAGTAAGCATAATGTGAGTACTTATTGTTCTTGAGCTTGGGGTTACTCTCTTAAAAAGGGCTAAAGGGGACGTCAATTATAGTATTTAGCATACTTGTTCTTTGGACAATTGCGTATTTATATGACGTCACCGTTCCAAGATGGTTCATAAAACAATCGTTCTTGGTTTGTTTTTGTTTTGTTTTTTTTTTTGGGGGGGGGGAGGTATTTATATTTTTCACAGGTAATATGTTTTTTTTTATATTTTTAATAGATAATTCACCGGGATATCGCGGCTAGAAATATTTTAATTACTGAAAACAATGTATGTAAAGTAGCTGATTTAGGGTTGGCCAGAGATTTACATGACAGTGGAGCTTATGAAATAGCATCTAAGGTAATTATTTAATATTGGATATATTATTATATATTTGCTTTCAAACTTACATGCTTTAGGTAATGTCAACTCCCAGTGACGCTAAATTGCACATTTAGGACAATCAAAGTTTCTACTGTGACATACTTACGCATATATTTGAAGGTTATTTATTTGTATAGTAGTGCACCTTATATGACCCGGACGTGTGCCGACTAATATGAAAATTAAAAAAAAAACATTTGAAAGGCGTATTTTTTAACATACAAGTTTGAGATATGTATTTTGTCATACAACTTTGAAAGGCGGATTTTACCATATTTTAAACGCATATTTTATCATGCACATTTGAAAGGCATATTTTTAACAAACACACTTTTATATTTAAAATAAAAGGGCGATAACCGTATTTGTAAAGCATTCAACGGCAGGATGCACATTGTTTCCAGAATTCAAGAATATCCAAAATAATCCAAAATTTATGGAGGTTTAAGGATGATTTATTTGAGATTATAATATGTTTTTATTTTTACAGGGTGGATTACCAATGATGATAATTTAACTCGATTTCCGATATGGTTCATAGGGTGTTTTAACATTACGGTGATAATTTATCTAAATTTCCAATATGGTTTTATTTTATCAGGTGTATTACCACATATGGTGATAATGTACCTAAATTAACAATTTGGTTTTATTTTTACAGGGCGTATTTTGAATATGGTAATAGTTTATCTAGTTTGACTATATGGTGATAATTTATCTTGATTAACAAAATGATTTTATTTTTACAGGGCGTTTTACCATTATGGTGATGACTGTTTTGAAATTAACAATATTTTATTTTTGTACGGGGTGTCACCAATGTAATGATAATTAATATGAGATTAACGATATGTTTTATTTTACAGGGTGTATTACCAATACGATGGATGGCACCTGAATCTCTGACTGATGGTATTTATACATCTAAGTCGGACGTCTGGTCGTTTGGTATTTTACTTTGGGAAATAGTTACCTTAGGTACAAAACTTTATTTTATAGAAACGCAATGGGCGCTTTCAGCTAACCCACGGATCCATTCACTTGGTCTGATATATACGTTTGTTGTTTGTGTCCTCGTCGTAGATTTGTCTTGAGTAACTGTTTATCTGTGGTGCGGTCCTTCTGAGCTTACTTTAAACAAGCACGATGATACTATATAAACCATCTTGTAATGTAACCGAAAAGTCCGTCAGACGAAGCGCCATTATCCTAACAACCAGCGTGTCAAGATTCATGTCAATCTTATTGAATTGCTGTCCAACCCCGTGCGTTTTCTCCGGGTCCTCCGGCTTCCTCCCACTACTAAAGACCCCATACGCGCAAGCGAATTATTGAAATAAAATTGAACAATATATTAGTCCCGAAATGACCTAGTTTGTGTCGAGTGGACGTTATTAAACCCATCTCTCTCTCTCTCTCTCTCTCTCTCTCTCTCTCTCGTGTATGGAACCATTTTCTGATCTTAAACCACAATATGAAGGTGGTTCTGATTAGTAATCAAACAATACAACCAACCTCCGTATAATGTTTTCACCCAATCTGATTAATTTCCAGATCAATATTTCTTTTCGTTTTTTTTATTTTCATACTTTCGTTGTCTACACTACATAAATATCAGACCAGTTGTACTGGAAGGTCACATCAGGAGTCGCACGAGCGACTTGTTGACCCTATGACGTCAGACAATGATTAATCAAGTGGTTTACCCACAGTTCCGTGCATCGTACGCCAAGAAGTCGCTGTCCTAATCCCTCACGCTATCCAGAACGCAGGTTATATAACAACTCTTCCAGATCCTAGTGTAGTACAGACAAACAACAAAATTTTGAACTATAAAAAACGAAACGAAATAGGATCTGTGTTTTAATCAGATTAGGATTCATCAATTCGTACTGCTGAATAGATATTTGCTAGTACACCCAAAATCTAATATGTATTATTGTACAGGTGCCGGTGAGAACTAATTTATATTTATTATTCTTGTACAGGTGCGAGTCCTTACCCTGGTATGTCAGCGCGACAGGTTATGGCTGCTGTTGTAGGGGGAGATAAGTTGGAATGTCCTGACTTCTGTAGTAAAGATCTGTATGTATAGTTTATCTCACTGTACTCACTCAAAAATAAAATAAAATGGGGTTTAACGTTATACTTCTCTGCACCGGCCGGGATAATGAAGACGACTATGCGCAATATAGTGTGCTATGATGGGGAATTTTGCCCGGACAGCGGCACTATGGACTATATAATTATTTCGATTTCGAACTGTCAAGGGTTCTCTAATGCGCACGCCAATATGCCTCACCTCAACGACAGACACCATCCCTGTCTAGTCGTTCGAATGGGACGAAAAAACCTGAGGTCCATTGTACACATTGGTGTTCACGGTTCACGTAAAAGAACCCGTTAAAACAATAAAAGTAGGCCGCACAGAAACGCAGGACGTTAAATTAAAATAAAAATGGGGTTAAAAGTTCTACTGTTCTGGGCTAATATAGACGGAGGGACGTTAAATTCCATTAAATTTCATTCCAATCCAGATTTTTCTATCTTTCTAAAAAAACTATCCGAATGGTGCCTGACGTTCATTTCTTTGTTGGTTTGTTTACTTTTATATATTCTGTTTTCTATTTGTTTATTTATTTTAAAATAGTTTTGTTTTGGGTTTAAGGCAAAGTTTGATAATACAGTGCTGGGGTAATAACCCAAGTCAAAGACCAAGTTTTAGCGAGATCTGTCAGATATTAGAATCACTGCTGGAAGAACAAACGGATTATCTCAATCTTCAAAACTATGAGGAGGGACTTTATGCCGCTTTATTTCCCACTACAGATGATGATGAAGACAAATGAACGATGGCCAATGGATTGATTGAGTGAAAAATTGAACTTAGTAAATGAACACTCTGTTGTGAGACGCCCAAAGCTGCTTGGACGAAATGTCGAATTCCTGGGATGAAAAGTCAACTGAATAAATGGTCATTCTTCGCGAGTAGCTCAAAACATTGGACCCACTTCGAGTAACTTTGTAGTTTCGAGTTAGTCAATTTTGACTGCCTTAAAATTGTTTTCAGTGGCATTTCGTAATTGAACTAGAAATACACAGGTCGCAATTCTATGGAATACAATTACTGCTTCGCTATGAGCCCATTACCGGAACCGGCTTCCATACTTATAAAGACCGGGATCATGATCAGAGAATATAGATTTTACTCGTGTGACACTGAGTAAGATATTATTGTGGGTGTGGAGCTTTAAATCCTGGACTGATATCACGTATTGATTAAAAAACGCATAGGTGAATATTTTGGAATTATCCCTTTTTAAAATACAAGGTGGTATGATTTTATTATTGATGATCGTATCACAGTCAAATTTGGCATGACTATATTCGTGACTGACATCAGTGATCAGTGGAGGCATTGTCATAACCAAACAGCGTCGCGCGGATGCTTCGAAATCGATACCTTCTGTGGCCATCATGATCAAAACACTTAAAGCACGTTGTGTCGGATTTTTGATCCCATGTAGAGATTTGATTTCGTGTCTGTTATTTCGTCTGTAAGACAAAAATGTTGTTTATCTGTAGAAGTCTGTGTTGTGTTTATTATGTTTCATATACGACTCAAGCCAGTTTCCCATACATGCGTTTTCGAGTGGGGTTTTGCCGGCGAAAAAGTCGGTCTAATGCAAATGTAATGGCATTGTTTCGATGTAACCAGCGAAAATACGCGTGGAAAAGCCACGAAAATGCATACATTGAATATGGGCTTAAGTTTAGTCACGTCTTAGTGTGAAAGGTTGGCTGATCATTCTGATGAAACTAAAAACCAGGCTCCACCCGACTGCACAATTCCCGTCCACACTTAGCCTAAAAACAAATGTATGTAGATCTCAAAATGAACGAAGTATTGTGTGGACGAGACGTTAAACCCAATTCCGTTCTTTTCATCGTCAATAATACTCTGCACGTAGAATATCTCATACAACATATTTTATTTATTGCTACTAGTGCATGTTAATCTGTGATGGCCGAGAAGGTCCCGTGGGGTTTACCAGTCAAGTTTCCCCGTGTCTGTGGTGCAGGACGATCCTAATTTAGTCCTTGGGAAGGTACTGAGGTTTCGTGTAAAAGACCTTGGCACTGTATGGCGTACGCTGTCTTCATTAGTCCAGTTGGTGCAGAAAAGTACGACGTGAAACCCCATTTCATTTCATTTCATTAACTATACATGAGTGAATATAAACATAGAATGTATTCACTAGCCGATTAAAACATTGTCGACATGGGCATTGGAACCTGAAAAACACACAAAATAACAGTGACGGCCAAATTATGTCCTGGATTGGCAAGTGATAACGCGCAGGGTTGCGTTCCTTAATTAGTACGTTTTCACCAGAGATTCCCGATACCCCTCACTCCCAAGATGTTATTTTTTTTCATGAGTGAGATGATGGTTACCTCATCATTTATTTACAATAGTGCCAGCCGAAAGTGGCATAGATTTAAAAATATATAACCCCTTGCAAACAACGAGAAAAAGATAGAGAAATGGGGTTTAACGTCCACTCTACACAAACTCATGGCTCAATTTCATTTCAATAATTCGCTTGCACGTAGGGGTCTTTAGCAGTGGGAGGAAACCGGAGGACCCGGAGAAACCCACGAGGTTGGACAGGCGAACCTACCCCTTGTCACGTACATTTATAATGCGATTTAGTTATACAATTGCCGTCCCGGACAGTGGGATATAGGCAAAGGGGGATTACCACCTTCACCCCAAACTCTTTAAATCTTAGAGAATGAACCCCAAACTATGCTGCCCATAGAGCGCAACAATTTCGTTTTGCATTATTGCATTGGCCACCCTATCGATACCAATTTATAGCTGGATAGACTAGAATGAATTGTGTTTGTGAGACCGGGGTTTTGAAACACGTTTGTGTCAGTCAGAATTCCTGGTAGAATCAAGAGAATAAACAATAACATGTCTTTATCTAAGTATTGTGTTATGTCCGTAGATTTGTTTATGTAATTGTTTGTGGTGCAGTTCACCTGCACTTACTATTACTTTTCTGCACCAAACGGTATCTCGGGCGTTTGTCCTATCCGAACAACTAGGCGCTTTTTCAGACTCTACATAATAAGAGAGGAAAAATGACTTCTGATTGGTGACTTGATTTAAAATAACAATAAAATACTAATTCTCATCTTTTTATTTATCAATAATTATGTCAAATGTGTCCAATGTTGTTGTTCACCCAATGATAACATGATCCACTTGTGGGTGAGTACCTAAAATAATTAATTATGACATACACAAGACACACTTTTATGGAATGCAGTTAATATTTAGTAGTCGGATTCTCTATCAAGGAATAATGTATAAAAATATAATGTGACATTATATACATGTGTAAAACAATAATTTGTTAATAAGTGACTTTCGCGTCCAAACGAGTGAGAGAGAGAGGGGGTACTGTAGCCTAAAACTAAATGGTCTATGTAACAGTTAGTCACATTTTAAGTGTTCAAAAGAATTGAGGTGCATTTATTACACAGTTAGGGCATATGTCCTATTTGCCACAAAACAGAGGAAAAAAAACAATACTGAATACAAAGAAGCTAACGGAGCGAGTGCAATCTGTCGCGACGACAATCGTCTGCTGATTGAATGACGTGATATAAAAGGCGGTAAGATGTCAAATTGTATTTGGAGAGAGAGAAGTGGGGGTTTAACATCCACTCGACACAAACTAGGTCAATTCGAGACTAACATGGTTCAATTTTATTTCAATAATTCGCTTGCGCGTAGGGGTCTTTAGCAGTGGGGGGATGGCCGAATGATTAGCACGTGCGTGCTGTATCATAAGGCCTGTCATTGAGTCAACTGGCGAGGTTTCGAATCCTCGGTTGTACGTGACAAGGATTAGGGTCGCCTGTCCAACTTCGTGGGTTTTCTCCGGGTCCTCCGGTTTCCTCCCATTGCTAAATACCCCTACGCACAAGCGAATTATTGAAATAAAAATTAAACCATATGTTAGTCCCGAAATGACCTAGTTTGTGTCGAGTGGACGTTAAACTCTCTCTCTCTCTCTCTCTCTCTCTCTCTTTCTCTCTCGTTAGCAGTGGGAGGAAACCGGAGGACCTGGAAAAAACACATGATGTTGGATAGGCGACCCTTCTCCTTGTCATATAAAAACGGGGAATGGAAACTACACCACTTGACTCAATGACATACCTTATGACCGCCCCGCCCGCCCGCCTGCGTATAAACGAATTTCCGGAGGATAGATCTCAACCCATCCGCACAGACGGAGAAAGAAAATGTTGACATATTTCATTCATGATTTACAAGGCACGCGACTACATATGAAGTAATACTAATCAGATGTAGAAGATTTTGACAGGATATTTTAAGCAACCAAACGAAACGAAAACGAGAGTAGCGTTCTACAGGTCCGGACTAGGGCCCGATTACCTGCCGGGCCCGGATACCTTCACGGTTACGAGAGTCTCAAACGGGCCCCCATGCCATGAAGTTTTTAATTCACCAATTTTTCCAAAACGGTAGGCTCCGGGGCGCTGGAAACTTGTCCCAGCCGCCCCCTTCCGCTTGCTGGACCCGATGATTTAATAATATCCGACATTTAATTTATCATTTTCTAGCTTCGGTGTCGTTCAACCAACCCCCCCCCCCCCCCCAGTTCCCAAAGAGCAATCAGAGGCATGCCACTAAGAATCTTGTAGAATACCCAAATTACGGTAAAATTATTTATGGAAATGATCAAAGTTGATTACGATAATGCCGAAGATTTGATAATGTTGATTTAGTTGGCGAACTGGGCGTCTGTATTGTCTAAATCTATAATATTATAATGTAACGTTTTACAGTATAGAAGTTTATTAAAAAATATATCATTGTCCTATTTTAAAAATACATTGTATATATTATATACGTACCCAAGCCCTTGACGTTTATTTTCAAACTGTTTCCACCTTTTCCAAGATTAAAATCCTCTGTATGAATAACTTGTCCTGCATGGCGAACTAGTAGTTTATAAGATCCCATGAATCCGCGTATTTTAACTGACTGCCCATGCGCTATACTATGAGATTCATTTGTTCTCCACGTATGTTTCAGTAATTTCTGTACTCTTCTCCCCGCTGCATTTGGCTGTAAAATAAATACGTATTACATCATCAGTGTCTGGTCTGGTGTCGTGGATTTTCATAAATTCGACAGACTCACATTGATTGGTAGCCTTTGAAATTTAATACATGTCTTTATAGGGCCCGCACATGCGTACATACAGGTTCAAACCAATATAAAGCACATGGATTGATTATGTACTTACAATAGTGAAATAACGTTCACTAGGTTTATTAACTGCAATGTGTCAATGCGTGTACTCTGACCGTTATCAAGCAATGGTCATTGAAACGTTACAGTTAAAGATACATTATGTAAGATTTAGATAAAGAGCTGACCATTCTTGCTATAATAGCTAAAAAAAAGATGCAAAATGAAAATATTGAAAATTTCATTCAAATTACTTCATTCTGCGCCAAATCATCGCTAGCTGTAGTTTTGACAAGATGCGTACACAGTGGTAACCAGGGCACTGGTATAATCGGGACTTAGCTCGCTTTCCCATTTTTAAATTAAATTTGTAAATGCCGAACCGTTCTATTCTAGTTAAAATCTCGAGTATCCGATGCCATCAAGAGTTGATTATGGACTTGTTTTGTTAATATACATACACTGTGCAAGAGCTAAATCTGCCTATTGCAGGTTTTTCGTTAGGCCTGAAATGTTATATAAACTTTTAATTAGACATTTACTAACAAAACAAGACCATAATCGACTCTCGATGGCATCGGATACTCGAGATTTTAACTAGATTAAAACGGTTCGCCATTTAAAAATTAAATTTAAAAATGGGAAAGCGAGCTAAGTCTCGATTATACCAGTGCCCTGGTTACCACTGTGCACGCATCTTATCAAAGCTACAAACAATGATAACTTGGCTGAGAATGAAGTAATTTGAATGAAATTTTCAATATTTTTTTTTCAGCATCTATTTTTGAATTATTATAGCAAGAATGACAAACTCTTTATTAAACTCTTAACTAATGTATCTTTAATAGTTTATATTACATTTCAGACCCAAAGAAAGCCATACAATAGGCAGATTTACCTCTAGCATAATGTATGTTTAATAAATCTAGTGAATGTTATCTATAAAACTGTCTGTTATTTTCTATTGCTTTCACTATTTAAAAAAAGAAATCGACCACAATTCGAAACCCATGACCTTGTGAGACGTTCAGATCATAGTATTCAATTAACTGAACGTTAAACCCCCTTTTCATGCCAATTAATAATACTAAACCTTTGGAATTTTTAAATTTAATGTACGCAAGGTGAGATTTGTTATTTGTCTTGTTTATTCACATACGTATTACAATATATGCCATGTCCACAGACCGACAGTACATACCGTAACGCTAGGACCATTAGCAAGAGCAGCAGCAGGTCTCCAATGTCGTCCATCCCAGAATCCCCAGAACATAACCCCTTTTACAGCAGGGTGACTGAAGTAAACTCTCAAGACTTCTTCGTATTTCTGTCTTTTTCTTGTTTCGTCTGCTTCGTCAATGTCTAATTCTGTAATCCAAATATCCAGTCCTGCCTTCGCCAAAGCGTCCAGACGCGCCTGAGAATGGGAAAAATACAAGATTAAGTAAAAACTTATACATAGATTTCAATAATTCGTGTTTCTTTTGGCAGAGGTGACTTACAGGGAATTATGATTTGGTCAATGTGCTTTCGATTTTATATCTCCATATACAACTGGCGGTAGTTTTTACTTTGATGTCCATAGCAGTTATATCAACCGCTAATGACGTTATCTCAGGTCAATATATTCGACTCATACCAACCGCTGATGACGTAGATGATCGAAATAATACAAAAAAACACAGAAATAAATTTTTATTCTTTTGACAATTAAAATTTGTTATGGTACAGTTTCTAACATTCAGGACCGAAATAGACGGCATACTTATCGACATACATGTATTTAGATCGGTTATCCATGTCTAAGACATCTTTCAGAATTTTCTTTTCGTTCACATTGCGATTATTTCTCCACACACTACAAGACTTGAAAGTATTTATCGCCCAAGAGTTCATTTGTAAAGTATTTTTGGGTACAGTCCGCTTAAAACAGTCGGTCAAATCTTTCTCTGAACATACCGAAAACCTTCAATCATGGTTCACTGTCAGAATTCTTGGAAAAGAATGCCTTTTGGTCCAAATTTTCTGCAGGCTTTGGATAGATCCTCGTCGATATTTGCATTCACATCTATTCCATCGTCAATATGTTGGCTAAAAAGGATTGATTATTCGTCTGACTTCGTATTACTATCCATTTTGTTTTTGCTTTCAATTCAATAGTCCAAAATGGCGACGTATAAACAAAACCATGCACGTAATTGCACGTGATTACCTCGGTAATTTTCGCTATTTGGCGGAAACTATCGAGCAATTATCCAATCGTTATTGCCTTTTAATGGAATAGCCCATTAAATTTAAGGGTGAAAGGCGTTGTATATGTCGGATATAAACCTACTCTCCCTCGGATAGGTTAATATCCTATACGTAACACAGCCACCCAGACCGTATTCAAGAAATAAGTTAAGGGTGCTGCTTTTGCATTGGTCAGGAGCTCAAATTTGTATGGAGAGTATAGTTCTTAGCCATATACAGGGTTGCATCCTTAAAATATTCTAGTTTAAGTTCTCGTAAATACGGCCCCTAATGTAAGAAACACAGATTTACCGCCCAATAGTTTGTAAATGAGCGGGGCTTTCAGTTGTGATAGTAGAATGAGATTATTGTAATGCAACATCATGGGTGATTGACATAGGGAAGCGTGTTCCCCGATGCCATTCAGACAACCTGAATAAAATATTGTTTATAAAAAAACAACATTTTATTCACTATTAGTTCCACATCATCAATTTAAGATATTAGTTTATTTATTGAGTGTTGTACAAATTACACAAAAGTAAAACACTATAATGTGTATTTACCTTTATAATAGACACATCAACAAGGTTGTGTAGATGACTTTGTATCCCCATACCAACAACAGGTACACCTGATTCCTTCAAGTGTACTGCTTGATTCACATACGCCTAGTAACAAAAAGAGAGACAATTAATTTAAATAAACTGACATAAAAATAACAATTACTGGTTTATATAGCTCACATTTTTCAAGCAAATGATAACATATAGGTTCGTTCGTTTGTGGGGCTTAAGGTTTGTTTCCACATTGCCTGAGGGAGGAGTCAGTCGTGTTTGACAGGCTAGACCAACAACAGGGGTTGGGGGTGGGAAATAACATTGTCAAGCCCTTCCTCCTTCACTACTGATAACAGCAAACCATACTAAAAAATCCGAGGAATATTCTCAGCCAACACCGGGAGCGAACCCGAGATATTCTCTTCAGCGAGGAAGGGCCTTATACTCACTGAGCTACCCCGGTCCTTATAAGAATTACTAAGGAAGTCCATAAACACATCCCTAAAATATACTAACCATGGTTTCATATTTATTAGCAACAACACCATAATCATTAAGATAACATTCTGTGATCGGATCCATCCGATGAACTTCTCGAATCATCCACGCTGTTATATTCGGATCATTCAGTCTTCCTTCGTAAAATTTCAGATGAACATTTTCATTGTTGACATCCCATTGCTGAAACCTGGAAGTGGTATCATGTGTTCTAAAAACATATTTTGTTCTTTAACGATAATGTACTTACTTGCCACAGAACAGATCCACAGGGGCTAAGTAAGTAAGACGCTGACTCACTAAAAAACACATCCGCGGTTCGATCCCGGTTTTGGTGAAGAAAGTTCCCCGAGAGTTTCCAGCGTTGGGATGAGACGAAAAACTGAGGCCCCATGTAAACGTTGACAGTTGGAATTCTATATAAGTGTAGACCGTAGCGCCGCTATCCGGGCAAAGATTATCTCATAGCACACTGCATGGCGTAAGTGGAATGAAATCTAGAGGATTACTCGATAATTGTACAAAATAAGAAGCCCTTAAACAATATTTCTTCCCATGCATATATGTATATGGCTAGCGTGGAGCGAGGTCAAAACGGCTTCAATGCTTCGCACGTTTGTTTGTTCATGTTATTCCAATCAATGTATGAGACGAAATGATTTGTGAAAGCAGTGTACGGCCCGGATCCATTCCACCCCCCCCCCCCCCCTGGACACGCGCCTGGTACTTTAAGGATCTTTTCCGGAAGTATTTAAAACAGCGATAGTAAAGCCATTACTTAAAAACCAATAGTAGACACTGAAATTTTTAAAAACTATCGACCCGTTTCAAATTTGTCATTTGTGTCTAAAATTCTTGAAAAGGCAGTTAACAGAAGATGAAAAGAGCATCTATTCCACAGGGAATCACGGTGTCTATGTGGCTAAGACGCTGGCTCGCTAGCCTGGAGGTCGGGTGTTCGATCCCTGCATTGGCCGAGAAAGTTCATCCAGATTTTCCGGCGTGGTTCCCCCCTTGTCAGTGATGCAGGACGGAAGGGCTGACACGGAAAGCTGTCTAGTCGTTCGGATGGGACGAAAAACCGAGGTACCGTGTACACATTGGCGTGCACGTAAAAGATCCCTTGACAGTTGGAATTCGATATAAGAGTAGGCCGTAGCGTAGTGTCGCCGTCCGGGCAAAATTTCCCTCATAGCACACTGTATGGCGTATGCCCGTCTTCATTAGCCCAGTTCGGAGCAAAACAGTAGGACGTTAAATCCCATTTCATTTCATTTCATTTCATCTATTCCACAACGCACTACTGGACGATGTTCAGTCTGCCTATAAAGAAAATCATTTCACTGAGACTGCTCTTCTACATGTGATCAGATCAGCTATAGATGAGGGTAACTGTTGCTCTCTTGTACTCCTCGGCCTATTATCAGCATTTACACTATCGACCCAACTGTACTTCTCCGTAAATTGAACATAGAATTCGGTATTGAAAATACAGCTCTCTCGTGGTTTGTCACATATCTCACTGGTCGTTCACAATTTGTGCAGGTCTTAAATACCAATTCTGATCCCATAACACTCACGAATGGTGTTCCCCAAGGTTCGGTCCTGGGACCAGTGCTGTTTACCCTTTACTCTGTGAGTGTAGCACATATTTTAAATCATCACAATCTCCAATACCATTGTTATGCGGACGATACACAGATAATCGACAAGTTTAAAGCTCGTGATCATATGGAATCCGTTCAAAGAACAACAAACTGTTGTATTGACATTAAATCTTGGATGACTGACAATATGTTAAAGCTTAACACCGATAAAACAGAAGTCATGCTGTGTATTTGGATTCGGAATTAAGTATGGAAAATCAGGTTAACCAGCTATTCAGAATTTGCTATTTCCACTTACGATCTATACGTCAAATACGCCACTTGATATCGAGAGAATCTTCCCACGCATTAGTCCGCTCTTTAATACTTTCAAGGCTAGATTATTGCAATAGCTTACTTTTCGGAATAAATAAGAGCCTTATTTCTAAATTACAACTAGTGCAAAATACAGCTGCCAGAATTGTGTCTCTTAGCACAAGAAACTGTCATATCACTCCACACTTAAAAGACCTGCATTGGCTACCCGTCGAGAGCAGGATACAGTTCAAGTTAATGTGTATTACATTTAAATGTCTACGAGGAGCTGCGCTTATCTACCCATCATCAACCATCTCTCCTTATGCGCCATCCAGATCTTTAAGATCTCAAAATGAACAAAAACTTGCAGTTTCAACTTTCAGACTTAAATCCTTTGGACACCGATGTTTTGCTCACTGTGCGCCTCAATTGTGGAACTCGTTACCATACAACATTAGGAACTCAAAAAGTCTAGAATGTTTTAAGTTAAAGACACACCTATTTCTAACAGCCTATGATTAAAGTATTAAGATAGACTCAGTTTGATAGTGGAGAGCCAAATATGCGCCATGAGCATAATTACTTTACGTAGTAGAATGAGCGCTCAATAAAAACTCACATTATTATTTATTATTATTACTTACTTGCCACGGAATGTACTTGTCATATCTTTGATGTGTTGTTCTAATGATTGCTTTATACCGACAGGTGATAGACTCTTCTGCCAAACTGGAACGTATTTTCCGGCATCCCAAAATATATTGTGACCTCTGACCTTAATACTAGTGATGAGAAAACAAAACATATATACATATCGACAATACTATATACCGGAAAACACCGGAAAACAACCGAAAAACACCGGAAAACTACCGGAAAACACCATGTTATACTGAATACCGGAAAACACCGGAAACCACTAAATACCGGAAAACACACTAAATAGCCAGGTCCTCTGTTTGCGGGGCGTTAGGGTTACGGTTAGGTTTTTCCGGTGTTTCCAGAGGACCAGGCTCCGAGTTACCTATTTAGGGTGTTTCCGGTATTTCGTGTGTTTTCCGGTATTTCGAGTTTTTCCAGTGTTTTCCGGTAGTTGTCCGGTATATAGTATAGCCCTATAGATAAAGATAGAAATATTTGGTCCAGGAATGGTGACGTCATATTTAAAATTGAACTGGCAAAGAAACATGAATGTCAAGTTTCATGCGAATATCTTTCCTGAAACGACGTTGCTTCCCACCCAAGAAGAAAATGTGTAGCGCACGGGAACCAGTGCCTGATCCAAAATATTACAGGTGGATTAAAGTGGGACAGGCGACCCTACTCCGTACAGGCAAGGAATCGAAACCACGCCATTTGACTCAATGACAGGACGTATGATGCAACGCGCAAGCGTTAACCATTCGACCACCAAACCCCTCTATAACAAAATGTAGTGATAGTTTGCACTTGAAGTTCCTAGGTACTTTGTTACGGTAAGGACAGAGCACTAGACCAAGGGTGGAAACCATTAAGTCGATCTACTAACCCAAAAGCTTCTTTTTAAATCCATATAACAACATAATTTATCCCCACCCCCCTCGATCCGGCCCCACCACATAAAGAAAAAAAACCCAAAACTACAAATAACATGACTACCAAAAAGCTTTCAATTAGTAGGACAAAAGGACCTTTTCCAGTCGGTTTTTAAATCGAGTATATATAGCACAAGCGGATATAAAGTAGCTTGTATATATATACATTCTTCAAAAAAGGTTGGGGATATTCAGAAACAATACAAAACTGCTGAAATGTACAGCTGTTTTTATTAGAGATAACCAGTGTATGTTCATAACAGGCCAATTGCCTACACATGAACATAAACAGTTCATATGGGCGGCTTATCTGACGGCCCCATTTCACTCGCAAAGAGATACACCGTCAAAAGTGAAAATGGACGTTTTTGATTTTTGTCTTAATAAATAGTAATTGCTACACCAATCCTCAGACATACAGCAATTCGTCGTGGCGTGCTCCTAATCAACCGTCCCATCACGATTTGGGGCAGTCTGATCCCACTACTCTTGCATGTATGGAGTTTGAACATTATCAGATAATCGTATGAAATTTCGATACCAAAAACACTATTTGATTTAATTACAATGAACATGTTTCATATACATTACCCGTTTGAAAGTAAGTCATTTACAGCCCCTAAAGCAGCATCTGGTTTAAAGCTTCCCTAGAAATAAAATAAATAGTGTGTTCGTTACAACTCTTGACGTTATGCTAGCAATTTTAAGACCAACACTAATTTTTACCGTGGTCTTGAGCGGAGAAGAGATATTGATCCTCGCCAAGATTCAAACCATGGGTTAGTATAGTGGTGGTGGGGGGGCAGTGACTCAGTGGGTAAGATGCTGACTCACAGACCAATAGGTGTCGGGTTCACTTCCGGAATTGGTCGACGACGTTCCTCTGGATTATCCGGCATGGTTTCTCCTTTGTATGTGGTGCACGTAAAGGATCCCTTGACAATTTGAATTTGAAATAAAAGTAGGTCCTAGTTCCACTGTCCAGGCAAAATTTCCCTCATAGTATATGCCGCTTTTTGGAAACAATTTTCCACTTTAGCAACGCACGGGTGGTCAAAGAAATAAGATAACCTATGTTAGTCCCTAAATGACCATTTTTGCTCAGATTAGAATTCTTCTCAAATAAACCCAACCAAATAGTGTTTAAGTATTTAGCTAACTTTCGGTGCTGTTTATAAAGGGAGGTGTCAATACCTGTGTTTTTTCTAAATACTGCCATTTTAGAGCGTTTTCCAGAACTCCCCATTCAAATAGATCGTAGTAAAACTTTCTGTAATTTGCATACTTTGAATTACTGAGGTAGTGTACATTAACAGCCGATCCCCAACCAAATTTACTTCTAGTTTGTTGAACCTAAAACATATCAAAAAGGTAATACATGTTCGAAATCAAAATCCCAAGGGTGGAGCCCGCACTTTTTATTTCGACTAACAACCGAGGAATTAGGCTTACGATGTGCACCTGAAATTCAAAGCATGTGGTTAATGGGGATTAATGTTACTTCAATATCAACCCGGCCCTTACATCAATAGTCTGGGGTGTATTAATTAGCTATCGGAATTAAATCACAGTGCAACAGTATTTCAATAATTGCCTTGCGCATTGCAACCCTGGGACCGAAGGGACGTCACTCGACTCAATGACAGGCCTTATGATTATTCGACGATCCAGACCCTTTCCCATCCTGACGATTAGTATTAATTATTATATATATATTAGTGATCAACAAATGGTTCATCATCTACATAACAAAACCAATAACACATCACATCAACTGATGGTGGTGGTGGGGGAATCTAATCATTGGGGTGTAGTTCAAACTGTCAAAATTGGGTCTAGTTCGCAAAATATCACAATGGAGGGGCGGGTGAGATCATGACGGTCCTCACAACAATATCAGAACGTCACAATGTTATAATGTGTCACAACATGGTCTAAACCACACTGCATGAACATAATACACCTCTCCAGGCAAATGGAATTTGCTGCATAATAAACCACGGGGGCCGATTTTATTTGCTGACATTTTTCCTTCTTACCTCGATTTCAAGATTACTCGGATTTGATCCTTCTAAGCTAAAATTAAATAAAAAAGTAAATGTTAAAATATCACCCCCTTAGCATTTCAATAGTGTATTGATCTTAATCCATGTCGAATTTCGAGAAAGATCAATGACGAAAGGCTTATGATCAAGATTAGGATTAACCCAGACATCTGCCATTCACGGATAGTGTTCGTGGACCAAGCCAAACATACTTCATCAAATATAGCTCAGTAGTTAAAGCACTGGCCCACCAACCAGGCGTTCTGGTTTCGATCCCAGTTTCCAGTCTGGTATTCCCTTGTCAGTTGTGCAGGGCAGATGGCATAATGCGTAAAAGTGGCGGATCGTTCGGCTGGAAGGCAAAATCGAGGTCCCGTGTTCCCGTTGGCGTAAACGAACTCTTGGCAGCTTAGGAACACAATATTGTTACAATAAGGCTACGTTGATGAGGCATAGTTTACCTTATGGATAAATCAGCCTTTCTTAGTTTATCTATTTGTTTATCAACATCGGTACTGAATGCAGATATGGACGGAATAAGAGTTAATTCAGCGTCATCCGCCAGGTAGTCCACACCCTCTTGTGGTATCTGAACATAAAATCGAACGCTGGTAGCTGAAAAATAAATGAAATGGGCTGAAATTGGATTTATAAACGTCTTACTGTTCTGCATTAACCCAGAGACGCGACATAAACCAGACACTGTGCCGTACGAGAAATGTTCTTTACGTGTAGGCCCAGGTTAACGTTTTACTTTCTGCACCAATCCGGCTAATAAGACGAAGCGTACGCCATGCAGTACTCTATAAGGGAAATTTTGCCCTGACACCGGTACTATGGTCTAACCTTTTTTTCGATTTCAGAAGATAAAATACGTAGGGCTCAACTGACCTTAATTGCCCATCAATAGTTAATAATGCCAATCATCCGCGTATATAACGATTAAATGTAGAAATCAGCTCCCCTCGAATATTACTTTACCCAAGACCTATTAGGTCAAGACAGTTTAATGGAACAAAACAGAATAACCAAATTCGTGGAAATCAAAAAATGGTTTAGAACAGGAAGCCAAAATGTATTAGAAAATAATCACCACATATATATTACCACCTAAAACGTACTACTGTCACATACTTACCATTAGTTGGTATATTGTAATCACCGCCTAAAGCATACCATTGACCTGGGTAGGTATAATCTGATTTACCAATGATATCGTACATATGGTTTCCTGAAAATAAAAAGCTGAGTTTACTAACCAACCCACTCCTGGCTTATAAATGGATAATTGATTATGGAACACTATTACGGTGTTTCGACAGGAAACATTTAGATATGAGTATGGTAGGAAACAAATCATAAATATTTAGTTTTAAATCCTCCAATGCTGAATTTTGACCAGCCCCTTGTGTATACGATGATTTTCGACTAACCCCTTGTGTATATGATGATTTTTGACTAACCTCTTGTGTATATGATGGTATTTGACTAACTCCTTGCTATATGATGATATTCGACTTACCCCTTGTGTATATGATGATATTTGACTAAACCCTTGCTATATGATGATATTCGACTAACCCCTTGTGTATGTGATGATATTTGACTAAACCCTTGTGTATATGACTATTTCTTACTAACCACTTGTGTATAAGAGGATTCTGGACTAACCACTTCACTTCTATATGTGACGATTTTGTAGTCTGTATATGATGATTTTTGAGTAACCACTTGATTTTGGACTAAACATGTCTGTATCTAATGAGCACTTGTGGTGATTTTGACTTATCGCATCCACCTTTGGCGATTTGATATCTGGCATACTGGTTATGACTTACTACCTAGCTATGTCTAGATGTTGGATTTTCACTTACCACTGCACATCCAGAAAAATGTCTTACATACCGCTAGTGTCTATGATGTCAATCATCGGTTGGGCGTGGTGGTACTGTCTACCATTCGCAGTGTTCAACAATTTCACATAGACTTTAAAATAATAACTTTGACCAGGCTGCACAGTGATTACTTGAGCAATTCCTGCCCAGTTCCTTTTCCTAAAAACAAATGTTTATCAAATCACAATATAAAACAGAGAGAGAGACTAAATCTTTTCGCGTCGTGAAAAATGCTAGAGTCGAATTGTAACTAAGATCTATACCACGGCATATGTTTGGTACCGGTTTAGCAATGTGATTATAAAGTACCGAAGAACGGGATGTGTCGGCTAGCCGATTTATCATTAGAAATATAATTTATATATATTCATAAATATTTGAAATGACGTTTAGTGACGGATTATCCGCCTTTGTAACTTACCTGGTTGTAACTTTGTAACTGTAAGAACCGCCATGACTGTCAGTGGACAGAGACCCATTACATCCGCTGCAATCCCAATCATCCAAGCTCTCAAACCCAGGGTTCTTAAAAAGATTCTGGGCAACCAGGAGATTTGGGAGCAATAACAGGAACAGTAGCATTGTTCTTGTCGAATCTGTCATGTGAATGGGCTGCACGTGTTATATCTAGGTCATCTTATCTCTCGATGAACTTCTATAACCTTATTTATATCTTTCGATTCCTCAGCAGGTCAAGGTATCACGCGATATCCCCAAATCGTTTTGATTCGTCAGCAGGTGAAGAGAGAGGGAGAAATGGGGCTTAACGTCCACTCGACACAACCTAGGCCATTTTTGTGTTTCCATAATTCGCTTGCACGTAGGGGTCTTTAGCAGTGGGAGAAAACCGGAGGACCCAGAGAAAACCCAATCCTTGTCACGCACAACCGGGAAATCGAAACCAGGCAAGTTGACTCAATGACAGTCCTTATGATAAAGCGCGCACGCGCTAACCATTCGGCCATCCACCGAACCCACACCCAGCAGGTAAAGGTACCAGAGTATATAGTGTATATAACCAGTGTCGGATTTACTTATTGGAGGGGTTTCCCCCCTACGAACAAACGAGCTATTAAAATGGCATCCACCCCCACCCACAACCCAGCAGGTGAAGGTACTATAGTATATAGTGTATATCACCAGGGCCGGATTTACTTATTGGAGGCCCCCTCCCCTCGACAGCTAAACACCCCCTACGCCAATCTGTTCTACAGACCTAATGCGACATCCGTCTTTTATGTCTGTCCAAGATGACTGACCTTTAAAAGGTCAGACCGCTATAGTTCTAAGGGTGACGTCACATCACAATGTTTACCAACAAAGCAAGATGGCGTCGATAACGCCAAAAAAGATTACTTCTGTGGCATGTTTTTGTTGTTTTAAAACAAACACGAGCAGGTCAATCAGATTAGACGGTAAAAAATGTACTTCTGAAAGAATTCAGAGTAAACAAACAGAAAAAAACGTCAAATTGATGGTCACACGTGCGTTGTTTACATCGAACGTAGTAATATGAACTGGTACGGGCAGAATTATATCGTTTTACCCATTTTACGCCTCCGCGTACTATTTTCTGTACCTATTTACGCTAAATATGGAATATTTTTTATCAAGATATACGTCAAACACCTTTACTTATTTTTCTAATACTAAAAAAAAAAATGTTTCAGAATTTAATTTGTCGAAAGAAAAAAGTTAATATTTTGTAGTCATTGAGTCGCATCGATGTCATCCTTATCAGTGATTGTAGCGGCCAAGCGAATATTCACTGCGGATCAGTGTGCCCCTACGCACAAACGAACTATTGAAATGACATCCACCCCACCCGCCAACCCAGCAATGGAAGGTACCAGAGTATATAGTGTATACAACCAGGGTCGGATTTACTTATTGGAGGGGTTTTCCCCGACAGCTAAAGATCCCTGCGCACAAACGAATTATTGAAATGACATTGAATTATATATTGGTCCCGCAATGACCTAGAAGCGGTTATAAACGACATTTCGAGACCAAAAACGTTAAAAAATATCTACTCAAAGTATTTTAAAATCTTTATTCAATATTTACCTTCAAACAAGATTTTGTGACTTTCGGTATATTCTTTGAATATGTCCACAGCAAGTTTTAAAATACAGCAATTCGGATGTAAAAAGTATATAATTACTTCAGTGCACTATCCACCGTTCTCAAATTCATTTCATCAATTCAAAAACGATACTCGTAGACTACCATAAAAATGAAATTCAGCGATGTTTTAGTCGTGATAGATGGTATACCTGGATAATCGCGACTGCCAGGCAGGATACGCCCGCGTTATGCAATAGGTGAATAGAGAACAAGCTAAACAAAAAGCGATTTTTCGTACAATCAAGGGCCATAATTCAGAAAGTTACGACCCGATATGTGCGAATATCGACAGGAACCAAGATCTTTGGATTATAAAGATATATTACAAGTTTCATCAAAATCGGATCCATATTGTGACTAATAGAGGGCCCACAACCTTGATATATATTTACAGTATTTGCCTACGAGGGGCGGCCATTTTGTCCGGCAGTTTTGGTCCGATTTTCACAAAATTCGAACTCAGCCGTCATTAGGGTGTAACGGTGAAATATTCAAACGGGTTTTAAATCGATGAACATTGTGACCGCTAAAGTGTCCACAAGCTAAAACGTGATTTTTCGTACAATCAGGGGCCATAATCCATGAAGTTTTTTTTTTGTTTGTTTGGTTTTTTTTGGGGTGGGGAGAGGGGTTGCAATATAGGATAAAAATTGTGACCTCTAGACCACAAGCTAAAAACGCGATTTTTTGTAAATCAAGAGCCATAATTCAGGAAATTACGATCTCATGCGCGGATATCAAAAGGAACCAAAATCTTTGGGTTATAAACATGTATTTCAAGATTCATCAAAATAATTTAGATCAAAATTGTGGCCTCTAGAGTGTTCACAACCTTGATATACCATATATACACTATGTGCGTACGAGCGGTAGCTATTTTGTCCGGCAGTTGTGGTCCGATTTTCACGAATTTTAAACTCAGCCATCATTAGGGTGTAACGGTGATATATACAAACTTTTTTTTTTAAATCGGATAAAAATTGTGACCTCTAGAGAGACAAGCTAAGAACGCGATTTTTCGTACAGTCAAGGACCATATTGTTCGCTATGTGCGAATATTGAAAGTCACCAAGATCGTCGGGTAATAAATATGTATTTCAAGTTTCATCAAAATCGGATAGAAATTGTGGCCTCTAGAGGGTCACAACCTTGATATGTCATATATTTACAATATGTCCGTACGAGGGGCGGCCATTTTGTCCTTGATCCATCATATATCTACACTATTTGCGTACGAGGGGCGGCCATTATGTCCGGCAATTTTAGTCCGATTTTCGGGAAATTCGAACCCCGTCAACATTAGGGTGTAACGGTGGTATATTCAAAGTGTTTTTCTTTTTTTAAATCGGATGAAAATTGTCACCGCTGGAGTGTCCAAAAACTAAAAACGTGACTTTTCGTACAATCAGGGGCCATAATCCATGAAGTTATGGTCCGATATATGTCAATATCGAAAGGAACCGAGATCGTTAGGAGATAGACCTATATTTTAAGTTTCGTCAAAATCGAATAAAAATTGTGACCTGTACAGTGTCCACAAACACGGACGTCGAGACAGACGGACAGGACCGACGACGATAAGTGGGCGTATAAAACAAGAAAGTGCAGTTTTAATGTGAATTAACTGTACAGCCATCCTCATGTATGATATCTTTAGTTCCTTTTAGAAAACTGATTAAATCATATATTATGTAAGTTGGAGGCATGTGAATCCACTGCTCAGATATCTGCATACATGATGTTGTTATTTATTATTTGATTTAACAAAATGTGTTTCTTAGTTGTTCAATATTTATCACTGAAATTGTTTTTTTATTTTGAAATCTGAATATAGAACAACGAGTAGCTTGTTATTCGGTATTATCGAATAGTAACGAAAAACAAAAATCCAGCTAATTAAACTTCACACAGCCGATTTTAATTTGGTTTTCGGGACTCCGCTATAATCCGCTACTGATATTGACGCAAGCTTTTAATAAACAGTGTTTGTATACACCAGGTTTACAAGTACTTGAAAACAACATTTTCACGTTTTATGGTCGTTGGCAGATGTTGTTACATTCAGAATTGAAAGATTAAACTGAATCTCCCTGACAAAGGCGCCGTATTTTTCAAACACTGCTACTTACACCCCCCAGCTTTTTTATTTTAGATAGGCACTAGACTTCCTCCATATACATTATAACATCGATATTAGATCGGAATCTTGATGCTTAAATATACAGGATCAAGAAATACTGTTTTATCATCCAGAAAAGGCGCCACTTCCTCCAAATATATTATGGCGGCCATCTTGGATCTTCAAGATTTCCGCCATGTAAAAACCTATATCTACCAATATCTCAGCTTCTAAACCACTTATGCTAGGTGTTACGATTGAAATCGTGGTTTTAATCGTGGAGTAATTGTGATGATCCTATCAGGTCTTATACATAGGATATATTGAGGTCAGTCGTAGCAATCGTGTTGATCGTATTGAAACGTATCCGAACGTATCTGCACGTACCAGATCGTGGACCCAATAGGGACAATTCTATCGTAAAGTGTCGCACAGCAGTGGTAACCTAATAATACCAAACCGACATAACTTTGCTAGAAAAGTTTAATTATCTGGTAATTCAATTCATTGGGCCAAATTTTGTAAAATTATTTTGAAAAATATATAACTAAAAAGGCAGAGCAAAGCTAGATACTTCAAGAAATTAGATTTTAAAAAATACATAATAAAGACCACATGTGTACACTTTGTGATACAAAAAAATTGGTTTAAGTTGGTTAATTCGTTCGTGAAACCAAATCAAAAGCTGCTGCCACCACCGAACTCACACCTCTACAAGTAAATAACCCCATCCCTTTTACATTATCGGCCGCCTTTGATAACTTTTTAAAAAGAAACTTAGCAACTATCGTGTTTTCGTAACTCGAGAACGTAAGGTAGCAGAACTCTAAAAATCGATAGGGTTCATTCCCCGTGACA